CTGTGTCACTTTTATTTCCTTTTGAATTGTTGCAGATTCTCTTTTCCCATTGGAAAATATCTCTGTTAGGTTTTTACACCCAACCCAAACTGCCGCAGAGTTTCAGGATGACTTCCAGAGCCCCTTTAATCTGTAAATCTCACCCAAAAAACTCCAATGCTACTAGCTCAGCCAATGGTTACATACGATATTTGCATATGTGCATGACCGTGCATGACTGCATAACACAAAACACAAGCATAAGCAATGCTAAAAGAAAGATGGATCGCTTGGCCACAGTTTAGTTGTGAAAGCTGGTTCAGGTTGTTCTAGGTGGGCTCAGCTGACACACCTGAAAGCACTACAGCCTTTCATGAACACTGTTTACACCTTTCCTGTTGTACGTGACACAGTGACCACTACAACAATGATTTATGGCTGTTTTTCTGGTGACTTGTCTGCAGTATTGTTCTCAGTACAGTCACAGGATAGAGTGACTTAATGGTTTAAAGCAGAGGTACATTTTTAATGAACTATCAGGCACTAAATGCTTCAGTAGAGTCAAATTGAGAACAAGGCTGCTACTCATTTAGCTGTTGCTTTGGTGTTGAGACTTCTTTCTGGATGGGCCGGAATCAAACCTGCGACCTAGTGCACATGGTTTACTAAGGTCAAGAAGCAGTACATATTGGAAAAAGAAAAAAATTGAATCTGCGATTGAGCTGCAATATTTTGCTGACTTTTCATGGCTAATTGACGCATTTGCTCAAACAGATTGCATGCAACTAACTTGATCCAATTCACTGCAAACCCATAGCAGGCTGAATTTATATTACTGCTGTTTTATCATCATCAGAGTTGCTTTGAAGACGGCAGTTGAAGTTAACGGTTGCAGATCTGTCTTTGAATCTCAAGTTCATCACCCACAGACGCCGTAATTATGGCTGTGTGATGGTGTCCAGTTTTTCCTGCAACTGTACCATTAACCATGTGCGCATTCAAATACAGTGGAACCCCGACTTACGAAATTAATTTGTTCCCAAGGGTCTTTCATAAGTCAAAAATTTTCGTAAGTTGAAGCACCCATCGCGCCTTTTGAGTGAACGATAGGCTATAGGCTAATTGCTAACTGCAACAACAATATGTCGTTCAAGTGGAACAGCGAAGTACAAATGCCAAGAGGTTGTCACATGATTTGGAAGGCATTGTGGGCATTGTGGGCTCAGCCAATCAGAGCCAGCGGATTTCGTTACGCGGGCATTTTGCCGTAACACGGGCAGAAATATTGCTGTTAAGTGCCTTCGTAACTTGAATTTTTCGTTAAATGGGGTATTCGTAAGTCGGGGTTCCACTGTATTTGAACCGCATAAAAATGAGCTGATGTAAGAAAATCAGTCATAAACGGCACTGCAGAAAGATTTTAGGAACTCAAAGTGAAGTAAGTGTGTTTTCACAAAGTGCCACCCAAATGTGTGAAGGACAACGATCTAAACACGTGAAGTCTTTGCGGAGTATGTTCGTAAATGACAAAACCAGAAAGTGAGAACAACTGCGGCTGCTTGTGAAGAAGCTCTTCTGTGCTGCAGGCCCACCAAGTCTGCTGGGCTGGGAAATGTTCCCCAGATAATAGAGCTCACACCTCTGTAGAGTGTTAACAACCCACTGCAATGTCACCACTTTAATTTCATTCATGCTCACTTAGTTACAGTCATACAGTGTGGCGTGTGCCCAGACAGTATGCGGGCGAGGTCGTGCAGACGGACATCGTCACCTGAACTGCTTCATTTAACACAATTTCAGGTATTGTCGGGAACCTCGTGTGTTATTAGGCATACTCACCTTCACTGCGCCAGTTTGAAGTGCTTTCAAGGCATCTATAACATAACAGCATGTTAACGGTGCTCAAGTCATGCGAGTTCATGCTTTAACCTCGATTTTTAACTGATTTGAAGACACGGTGTGGTGCAAGCATGCGAACAGAGAGTGGGCATTCAAAAACGTGTTGATGATCAACTCATTGTCGCAGCTGCAACGGTGAGTGACGCAGCTTCCTTGAAAATGCTGTCATTTGTTGCAAGGAACACAAGGGCAACAGTGTTACCTGCTGTGTAATGGGACTGTTTGATATTCTCTTCAGTCGATTATCTAAACGGAGGCCCGGAAGTACAGTTTCAGAAAAACTTTAAGCCTCCGATATAAAAAAGTAATGTTTTCCATCTTCCATCCTGTGCAACAGTGTTTCAGGACCTTCCGAGCTCAAACCACTCTGCAATCACTCACTTTAACTGTTTAACTGTTAGACCACTATCACATTTTCCCGCCCCCTTCCCTCCTTCCGCTCTTCCTGTCATCTCTCCATCTGTTAGCGCCTCTTCCATCTGTCTCCACTCTTCTGTGACCTGTGCATCCATCCATCCATCATCTATACTATCATTATCAGTCTCACCCTGCTTGTCTGCCATAGCCCCCCCCCCATTATTCACCCTTCACCCCAAGGCCCGCCGCTTATTGATTAGTTGTTCCTCCTCTTTATCCCTGCCGGCTTCACGTTCCTCCATTTATCACAGAGCTTTAAGTTCTCCAAGCTGCGTGACATATATTAACAAGGAAGCAGCATCGACGCGTATTCATTAAGCTCTGGGCAAACAGGCTCCATAGCTTCCTGCAGATTTTGGTGTCTGACATGAGATTCGGTTTCTGTTGCTTTTTCCTGTGTGCTTCATTAGGTCGGGGTGCTCAGTGATGAAAGTTAAAAAAGTCGTACCTACCTTGAGAACATCTGTGTGTTCTAAGGAGAGCTCGTTGTGACTTTCCTTTTCGAAGAGATCACCTTTCATATCCAGTGAATAAATATTTTTGCTTCCTCCACTTCTGTACCATTCATTCATTAATGTTGAATTCTCTCGCAGCTGCTCTATTCCCATGTTGTTGCAGTATATTAATGACCTCGAGTTGATTATTTCAGTTGTTCTTCTGACTGAAGTTTGGTCTTTTTACAGCATCCTGACCTGCGATTGCATTTGTCCCTAACCATCGGGAACCGTCACGTTAATTTTTATTGAGTGGAAAAAAAGTTAGCATTCATCCTCCAGCTTCACCTGTTTGTTATGCTGTGTCACTAGCGGTCACGTAGCACATCATTATATACCAGCTAGCCCAACTTAAGTAACCAAATGTCACTGCTGTTTAGTTCTGTCTTCATTTATGTTGGAAGTGATAGCTGTAATGTTGCCAACTCCTCAGTAAGAAAAATGCTATTGGCTGTCCTAAAAGTCGCTGGAACTCGCTAAATGATGTAATCGCCTAATTTGCATAATTGGTCATGCGCAGGTAATTGTAACAGACGTAGGAGAGAGAAATAACATTGTGGAAGAGACATGAAGTGAGTAAAAAACACCCAAAAGTATTTAGAATATGTTTAGAACTACATATATATATATATATATATATATATATATATATATTTTTTTTTTTTTTTTTAGCAATTATTGTTTTTTTCAATGTCACAATTCTGACCCCTTTGTGGACTTGGGACCGGTGTTCTGACACATTTCTGCTGTCGCAGAGTAACTCCAGCACAAATGTAAGTAGGTATGACGGTTTGCCACTTAACTTTGCCCATCTGAGTATGCTTGTAGCCCACATTCATAAAGCCAGGACGGTTTGCCACTTCATTTTACCCGTTAAAGTATGCTTGTAGGTCACATTCTCAAAGGTAGCATGGTTTGGCACGTAATGTTACCCGTCAGAGTATGTTTCTAGCTCATATTCACAAAGGTAGGATGATTTGCCACTTAATTATAGCTGTTAAAGTATGCTTGTACGTCACATTTACAAAGGTAAGACGGTTTGGCACTTAATTTCACGTTGTGCGCATGTGTAGAAACAATGGGTAGGATGGATTCCCAGAACACCTGGCAAAAGTGACTCGAAATAGACACTTTTGCCAGTTACTTTGAGTCTGTGTGTCTTTTTAAGTAGTTTTAAACCTTACTACGGTACTTATAAACTGCTTACCTGTCATAGAAACCGATTTCTAAGTTTTCAATGATGGGAATGATGCCTTTTAGTGCCTTGATTTATTTTCCACCTAAACATGATATAGCATGTTTAGGTGGAAACAAGTGAGCTAACTTCCTGCTGACTTCTAACTCAGTTAAATTTAATACATTCTGCCTGGATATTAAACTTAATCGTTACACCTGGTAAAGCAGCAACGCTGATCATTTTATTAAAGATGAAAGAATTTAGACAGTTTTTAACTCAGTGATGCCGCAGTGATCGTTTGATTTTGGGACCTGAAGCGGACGGCGTTTTGGACCCAGATTACTCCGCGAGGCTCCTGACTACAGTAGCCATAATGCTCCAACAATCCATCAAGCGATGCAGCTTCGTAGATTACCAAAGTCGCACTAAAACATTTTTTGACAGATTTTTGAGCGCTGTGTACCACATAAAATCGTTTTGAGGTCAGTAAGCACAACCAGAATTCAAACATAAGGCGCACCGGATTGTAAGCTGTATATTTTTGAGAAAATTTAATTTTAAGTGCACTGTATAGTGCGAAAAATACAGTATTCATACAGCACTTTCACGTTCACACACTCACTCCAATGGATGCATCAGGAGCAACTCGGGCTTCTGCATCTTGCCCAAAAGACACTTTGGCATGCAGCCTGAAGAGTACAGGAGCCCGCGATCAATCTGCTTTCTTTCTAATTGGTAGACAAGCCGCTCGACCAGCTGAGTCACAAGTCTTGTGTGATGTGAAGGGTCAGTGTGCACAGCTGTTAACAAACCTTTGTAGGAATTTTAGAGCTAAAACTAACTACATGGACCTGGAGGTATATGAGAAAATACCAAATTAGTTATAAAAATCCTGCTCACTGAAGCCTCAACCTGTCAACTCAGCACACTGTTGCATAACGCAGTTTCTCAGTTCAGTTCATTGATTTAGCCCCACCTGAATGCCACAGCGACTGTGTGCATCTGGACTGGATGAAAGGCTCACAGAGGCTCCACACTGGAAAACATGTTTATTCACTTTTACCAGTGCAGTCAGATGAAACAGGAAACAGAAGAGACGGACACAAACAAACATGGAGCATCACTGCATTACACAAGTCAAGGTCAGTAAAGGTCATCACACCTCCGCAGCACACAAGACTATTTCAGGACCAGTGAGGATCTGTGTGGCCACAAACGAGCACATGCTTGTGGCATTATCCGACAAGCAGAAGTCCAAGATTTTCTGAGAACAAAAGAAGTACTCTTTGTGGCCTTTGTGTGGGCCACTTATTGGGACACACTGCCACCTGCTGGTTAGGAGGCAGCTGTGCAGCAGCTGGATCAGCAATACATTTTAAATGTTAAAACGTCTAGCAGGAGCCCACCAACATTAAAGACTACACACTAGTTCAAACCGCGGCACTTGAGCTAGCTAGCTAATAGCTGGTAAGGGACTCGATTTTTCAATCAGTTCTTTAATCCGTTGTGACAAATCGTTCAAACACATAAAACGTTACAGTTAAGCTCGGCTGAGTTTGCTGTTTATGTGAAAGAAGCAGAAACATGTTCATATAAAAAGTCAAATAAAAAAAAAAAAGAGTATATTTACCTTCCCGACTTGAAAGAAAATTCTGAAACAAGTACTTCTCATATCTGTGAATTTGTACATGAGAGGAGTGATAGCTACCATATGATGTAAATAACTGTCCAGTCAGTTCAGCAGACATGACCACTGCGTACAAGTCTGGTGTGGAGAAATGTGAGTGTGTGTGTTTCACATTCAGGATTCATCTCCGTTAGCACTATCGTCTTCTCCTTCCTCCTGCTCACCTTCATCATCATCATCGTCCTCTCTCCCTCTGCTTTTCGTCTGCACACAGGGACACACACACAGGACAAAGGTTAACGTCAGTATTTGACACATGGATCAAGCAAATGAAGCCCAAACTCCACAGTAGTTGGGACGGTGTGTAAAATGTAAGTATAACTATCAAATGCAATGATTATGATCAATATATATCTACAACGTATGCAAGGCCTCTGCCGACAAAGACTTCATCTGTATACCTTTCAGCACTTATGAAGCTTTTCCACATCTCTAAAAGTGTTTCTGAGCCCATGCAGTGATTTCCATGACACAGTCATGTCTGTTTTTAATGCAGTGCTGCCTCAGGGCCCGAAGATCAATACTGGTCTTTGGCCTTATGCTCTGAATCTTTTGATGACGTTATGCTCTGTAGATCAGCGGTCTCCAACCTTTTTTGTGCCACGGACCGGTTTATGCCCGAAAATATTTTCACGGACCGGCCTTTAAGGTGTCGCGGATAAATACAACAAAATAAAACTAGTACCGGTACCAAAAAAAAAGAAGATTTATTCATAACACACGTGAAAAGACCCAGAAAAACCGAGTTAACGATTAAAACGATAACAAAATAACGCTGAAAACCGATAAAAACCCTGAAAACCATACATTTCACACCTGAGCCTCAACTCTCGTGGCCCGGTACCAAACGACTCACGGACCGGTAAAATGAGCTTCTATTTTTCACAAAACAGTAAAATGTCCAGCTTTAAACATCTGATATTTCCTTTGCTCTACTATGAAAGAAATATTGTTTTATGGTTTTTGGAAATAATTTTATTTATATTTTAACATCATCCCAACTTTTTTGGATTTATGGTTTTAAAAATAAATCATGTTAGGTTCTTTGCACTAAATTCGCCTGTTGAATAATAGCTGAAAACAAACTATGTGCATACAACAACTTGTTTAAAACAGCTGCTGATGTCCTCCTTTCCTTTTCCCCCTGTCCTCACCTCATCTTCATCCTCCAGCAGGTCCCCCTCCTCCTCTGAGTCATTCAGCTCCCGGCTCTCTTTGCCCCTCTTCAGACTGTCTTCCTTCTTGCTGGAGGTAGATGAGTGAAGAGGAGACACTTCACCTGGCTCAGGTTTGGAGCTTTTCATCTCTGAGTAGAGGGTGGAAAAAAAACACACAAAAACACTCAAATAAAAAGCTGATTTTTCTGTTTCTGCCAGTCTGCTCCATACCTGAAACGTTTATATAATTGATGGCGCTGGGTGCATGAAATGTATATTTAACATTTGCATAAGCACCTCCATGACTCATCTTTGTGCAGTGTGAGTCACAGAGAATATATTTGTGAAAAAAATGACATCTTCTCTTTTGGAAGAAGTGGACTTTGCTTGAACTGGTATTAGCTAATGCCAACCTGACAAGTAAATAATCACGTACACGTGTCTGTTTGTAAATGCATTCTTGGTCTCACATTGGAGGTTTTTAGGCTGTTGATGTGATGCCTGGCTGCCCTAAAATCAAAGTAGGACCCACCTGATTTCTTGCTGTGGTCCTTCTCCATGTGGTCTAAGCTCTCCAACAGGTAGTCCACCTTGTGTTTGATCTGTGTAAGCTCCCTTTTTATGGTCTGTAGATCATCTGCCTTCACTGTAGGGGAAGTATGGGATAAGCCACTACTGAGATGACCTTTGGAAGTCACCAGTAAAGACGGCATGGATGACTCTGTGAGGAACCTACTTGTACGTGAAGTTCTCTGGCTGCTCTTGGAGGAGGAGGAGGAGAAGCTGGTCTTGGTTCGTCGGCTCCCTCCGCTGCTCAGGCTCACCCTGGGACGTTTGGAGGGGATGACCGCGCGGGACAGAGGGGGAGGAGGAGGAGGCACCCGGGACTGGTAGGAGTACATTCTGAGAAGGAGAGCATCAAAGTGTTGAGCTTACTGGCTCTGCAAGCTGCTTTACAACCCCCCAGCTGGCCAAAGATGTGCTGAGCAGCAGGCAGATTATTCTTACATGTGTAAAGAATAAACTGCTTACCTGTCATAGTAATCTCTTTGGAAGTCGTAGTCCAAATCAAAAGATGAACTGTGAAAAGAGAGGGGACAGAAAGATTAGCCAGCAATGTGCTAAAGCTGCTGCACTGTGACTGAGAGCAAAGCAGCATGCACACACCTGTACATGTCTCCTGCAGATCGCTTCACTGTCTTCGATCTATGAGGCTTCGGTTCACCTGCCAGATTGATGTCTGTAGGAGGAGAAACATCGAGGTAAGGTAGGATGGACTAGAAATAAAGGAAAGAAAAACGCTATGGGAGAGAATGTGTGAAATTTCATCAAACACATCACACCACATCTCCATCTGGTATGTTATTTTTGTCAGACTAGTGCAGGTTTTACCTCTAACAGACTGTATCGGCAAATAAGTCCTCACGTTTATTTTTATTTGCCTGAACAACAGAGAGGCTCCTCTGCTCTTGTTCAGAGTGGATATGAAGCAACTCTCCTCTTTCTTTACTTCATTTTACTTGATTGTAACACTAGAGGGCAGCAGCATGTGTTTAAACTGTGAAATGGGAAGGACGTCCCAGATTTTAATCTGTAGGTGAGCAAATAAACTGCACATTGTAACAGATACAAGTCAGGGAGTGAACATATTTACAGCCTATACTTTGTGCCTCCATACAATTTTCTAAATGCACTCGTGATTAGAAAAATAGGAGGTTGGAAAATGTATTCATTTGCTTTCCTGCCAAATTAGAAAGACTGATTTTGCTTTCAGTGCAGTAAATATAAAGCTACTGCCACAACTTTACCTATATCACATATACGCTGCACAGAAGGAGGCATACCTAGATCACAAAATATGGTAACAAAATATACTATCTAACACTTCCAAAAGTCTTTAATGTAGTGCAAATAGTATTATATTATTGGTTAACTTGCTTTATTCTTCAGTGACATTACCAAGCAATACCTTAACATGCTGTTTTTTTCCTCCATCTCACCTAGCACCTGTCCAACGATCATGCGGCCGTCCTCCCCGGCCACGGCGGCCCTGGCGTTCCTCTCGTTGGAGTACTGGACGAAGGCGTAGCCCTTGTGGACGGAGCAGCCGAAGATCTTGCCGTACTTGGAGAAGATCGCCTCCACATCGGCCTTGGTGACCAGCAGGGTGTTGAGGTTGCCGATGAAGACGCGGGAGTTGAGGGAGTGGGGGTCGGTCTTGTTGGTCACGTTGCTGCTGGCCATCAGGCTGGAGGAGGAGGATGATGACCAACTGGCAGGGAGACAGAAAGAGAAGGGTGAGTGCATGGGTGAAGATAGCAGTGGGGAAAGAAAAGCAGGTCAGCATGTGGAGGTCAGCAGTGTTTAGAGAAACAAGAAGGTGTGATATAGATTTGTCTTGTACTAAAGTTTAATGATAATCTCTGCTCAAAGGTCAGTGTGAGTGTTGAACCTTCAAGTTCTTTAACGGTATGACTTGAATCACACTGCCTTTGAGAATTCAGAATGATAGTCAGTGAATTGATTATTGATGAATTTCTTTTGATCTAATAGTTTATAAAACATCCAAAGATGAAAACCTGACTTCTAAAATGTTAAAACCAGCAGCCGTTCCAACTAATTTTTGGCATTTTGTGTATGAAAAGCTTCACATGCTTCGTCATTGTGAATGCAGGTATTAATTCTCTTTAATCAAACTGAGTTCATTTATCTCTAATTACATAATAGCCTCATTATAATCATATGAGAATGCCACTGCAATTACTGTTACGCACAAGGAACCTTAAGTTGTGCTTCTTACCCCTTACACACTAACTGCAAGTTTGCACTATCAAGAGCATCTAAAAATAGATACTAGACAGAGTAGACAGTGTGATCGGGTCATGAAGCAGCCAGCACTCACTCCATTGTGTCTGTACTCGGGTCGGTGGAGGTCTGCCTGTCTGTGTCTGTTGGAGAGAAGAGGATCGTGGAGAAGCTATGAAACATGGAGACTGTGGGGGGGATTTTTGCTACACCTCCAAAAGATAAGATTTTTCCTCATATTTGGCCAAAAAAGGGGATTAAAATGGAAAGAGGTGTTAAAATATTTTAAAAACCTGTGGGATAAATTGTTGTTATGACAAAAACAAGCATATTCACTCGTGAGCAAATCCAATAACCTTCATCCTCCACAGAGGGTGAAGAAGCTAAAATGATTTTCTTTGCATTACAGCAGCTGGACAAAGCTTATAAAATGTGTTGTACAGCTTAATAAACACAGCAACCTCTGAAGTGCCGACTGCATCAAAATTGGATCGTCGCACACCAGGAAGTTTGCGTCATGTGCACTTCGCGAGTCTGCAGGTACGATCCCCTTCTTTCGGTGTATGCCAGTAACAATCCGCCATGTTGGCTGCCACATGTTAGAGTCCCCTCTGACGGCTCTGCTGACATGAAAGTTTTGCATCACGTCATGTTTCACTTGCATCGGTGCAGTTTTGGAAGCTTCTCCTGTTGCTGTTCTGCATAAACGCACAGTGTATGCATGCAGTCAGTGGCGTACTAGCGTTGATTTTAATTAGTACAGTCTTGCCACACTGTTGCTGGATTGCTGTCTCACCAGTGGCCAATACTGCAAAGTTATGTAACACTGCAGGAGAGGGGGACAAGTCCCTGAATGCAGTGTCAAAGCGACACTACAGGAAAAGGGTGATTTCATAAGAAGTCTTTATTTTATTCTGGTCACAATTCTGTAGTAAACTTTAAACCCCAGCATGCGGGAAATGATCTTCTTTGCTCAGTCCCCAGAGTCATTCATCTCATTATCCACCACTTCAGCTACTGCAAAGTCACGCCTCAGCTGCCAAAACAACGGCGCCCAGCAGCCTCTCCCTGCTCTGGCTGGTGACTCCTAGCAGAGGATTAGTTTACAGCATTCCGGCCACAGCTGAAAGCGCTGCTTGCCACTGCATGATTTTGGCCAGGATGCGTCTACTGTTTGGCGAGCTGACAGGACGTCTACAACATGGGGCGTGTTCAGGAGGTGCCGGGGACAACTGTGGCCTCTTTAGCTTGTTTCTAAAGCTTTGTGGGGGGTTTAGGCAAGAATATCAAGGCACACGTGCACTCTAGTGTGATCTGAATGTCTGATGCTAAACACAACCAGTCAAGTTATATTTACACACAAGATGGAGAAAGGAACATTAAACCCTTGTATGTTATAGGCATGTGGATGGGAAGCTTGTGTTTGGACTGAAACAGGCAAATATCTTGCAAACACCAATTTTGCAATTTTCAAATCTTTGGGCACATGCCCATCAATTGGAGGACCTTGTTTGTCTTTTATGTGTAATGATATTTGGAGCCATTTGTGTTCACTTCCTTTAACTAGCATTCACTGCAGGCCTGTTACGTTTCCAGTTCTATTCAATTGCATGATAGTTTGTGGTCCCCTTGTGATTTAATTCTAAATTCAACATGTGGGGGCTCATTATTCAGGAACAACTGCTTATTATAGTCACTCATTAATGGCTCAACACACCTCTGTGGAACTTTTCTTATCCACTGCCTCATCTGGGCCTCATTTTACAACTCCATAAAAAACCTGTTCACTGTTCAGCTTCCCTCTGAGTGTTGGATTTGTGTTTGTGCTTCAACTGTGACAACACACTGCAGCTCTCAGGATTCATGCTTGAAGACAGACGAGACAAAATGACAAGAGCAGCTCTGCTAGAGGTTTTTTTAATACACATTCAGGGAGCAGAAAGTGGCGACGTGGTCGTCCCCAGAGGTTCTTTTGATTTGTTTTCCAAATCAGATCAGAGATGATGGAGGTGAAAAGGTGAAATGGAACTTGTTAAAAAAATATCTGAATTTTAAAAAAAAAGAAAAAAAGGGGCAGAAAAAAAAAATCAGTGTTTAGTGATTACTGAATTAGTCACTCATTAAGGTTATTTCCCTTGCATGCTGCAGTAAAAAGCCACTTTAGGGACAGATAATTGCCTCTTATAGAGCAGGCAACTTTGTGTTTACGTAAGTAATGGAGCACTTTTTAATTTGTCAATTAACATGCACACTCACAACAAAAAGAACAGGGGAAAAAAAAATCACTCCAAAGAAGGAGAAACAGTCCTCTTTTTGGTCTCTGTCGGTGCTTTTCCTTCATCTAAGCACTTTATGTGGGAAGATTTGAAGAGGTGTTATCCAGCAATCAGCTCCAACACAAACTGGACCACTCACAATCAACAGCATGATGCATCTGATTATCACAAACTGGGAGGCGCATTTATGAGGCCATTAGGGCCAAACAGTTTGAAAATTAAGTGGCTGATTTCTCTTCTTTTACAGCACCCAAAGCCCCCCGAACTACTCTCTACTTTTAAACAAAAAAGAAAAAAAAGAGGGTGGTGGGGGAGGTAGAAAATAGACTAATGCCAAAAAGGGGTGAAAGTGGAGTAATATATTAAAAAAAATGATGCAAAAGTTGAGGTGAAAAAACAAAAAAGTGTAGACCAACTTACGATTTGCTGCTGCTGAAAAAAGTGGCTTCAAAAACTAAACGGGGGAAACAAAAAAAAAGGTAGAAATTAGAAAAGAAGGTTTCTAGACTGTTCTGATGCTGTCATCACAACAAGCAGGGGAGAAAACGTCAGGGCAAAAAACATGAACGCTACAAAAGCGGCTCATCACTTATTTAGGATAAGTTGTGAGCTCTACATCACACTGCGGTGACAAGAGATCCAGGAATATGAGAAGTCAAGTTTTCCAAGGAATTTCTTCTTAAACCAAAATTTAAAAACACTAATGGAAAAATATGATTAGACATTTTAAAAATCACATCTACAATAAAGATACTTATTACAGCTCATGACTGTTTAACTATATGCACTTTAGGTAGTACAGACGTACTGGACTTCTGATGAGGTTTCCTCGATCTTAGATATTCCACGATCAGCTTTAAGTGGTGTTATTGCAAGATGGAAGCATTTTGAAGTAGTAGCGTGCCCGATGTTGTAAAGTTACAGACCGGGGTCGCCGATGCTTAAAGGTCACAAAACCCCTGCTAAGCAAATTACTGCAGAGCTGCAAATCTCCTCTTGCATTAACATCAGCACAAACACTGTGCACCAGGAGCTTCATGGCCTGGGTTACCATGACTGAGCAGCTCCTGTAGATGTACAGTACAGTTCTGTCCATTTAGTACAGCTAGAATAAAGATGAAGATTTTATTCTTAACAGATCTGGTAATATTGTGAAACCGGTGTTTATCAAATTGGAGTGCAAGTGCCCCTAGAGGTGATTATGAGTACTGCATTAAAAAAAAAAGTAGTACCTACCAAAGAGTGTTTTTACTTTATACCTTCTGGAAAAATCCTGAAATTTAAAAATAATTACATGATAGTGAGTTCAGTAGGACTTCAACTTTATTACATTTAACTTTTTTTCATTCTACAGAACGATAAACCTGGATTAGCTGTTATACTACCTTTAACACCAGGGATTCTGAAGGAGAAATTGACATTTTAAATCTGCATCTCTTCACTGAACTCTATCATTTATAACACAAAAAAAACAATTTTGCTATCTGAGCTTCTATGTTAATGTAAACTGACCCACAAAGGAATCAGTGGTCTGCGAAAAGGGCGGTGGGTGCTTTATTTTGGCCTCCTGCCTGCCCTCCATGTAGGGGTCAGAACAACACCCCTGCTTAAGGCCACTTCACTGCAGACCACACCCACTTGGGGACCGTGGAAGTTGGGTAGAGCAAGGTGGGTCAAAAAAAAAAAAAAAAAAAAAAAAAGTAGACTTCATTGACTTTCCACTGTAAAATGTTGCATAATTGATTATAAGTTTGTTTATTAGTATATAAATATTAATTCATAAAGCTTTAAATCCAATGAAAGGCTAAAAAAACCCCACATAGGTCTATAAGCCTGCCTTACAGCAGGCCCACTTGAGCACTTCAGGTCTAAGCAGCTGCACAGCTCAGAGTACATTGCCAAGATTGTTAAAACACAAAAAATGAGTAATTATATCAAAATTACCAAATGCATAATTCTGTAGTGCCAGTGTTACATCCCCCCCCTCCCTCCCCCGTCCATGAACGTGCGATACATAAAAGCACTGTTGCTTTAATGTTCCTCCAAAAACGCCCCCGCTTCTCACAGAGGGAAAACATCTCGCCTGCAAAATAACAGGACTCCTGAGATCAGCTGCGGCAAACACACCGCCTCAGCACCGCCAAAATCACACAGAAAACGGAAAAATACGTCGTTAGGACTCGTTGTAAACGACCGCATAACAAGTTTCAAGTGGAGGCAAAACACAGGACCAGAATAAAATGCAAAATTTAAAAACATATTCCCAGAAAAACGGCGACACTTTTATTTTCTTTCTGGCAAAACTGTCCAGAAAATCCTTCCATATTTTATCTTCATAGAAATTAGAGCACACGCAAATAAATCATAGTTTTACACGGCATCCCTACAAAAATCAAGCCTTTAAAATGTCGTATTCGAAAAAATAAAAACAAATAATAATAATAAAAAATATATATAAGTCTATATGTTGTTGTGGAAGCTACTTAAAACTAGTTTCTGTGCAGTTTGTGCCATCACAAAATGTACGTCACTACAGCCAACACAGTCTCAGGAATACCAGCCAGGAGGGGAAAAAACACATTAAAAATAAAAACAAAAAGTCCCAAAGACGGTTCAAAGTCAGGACAAAAACAAAAAAAGGTAAAAAGGTAAAAAAAAAATCTCTCATTTAAAAATACTCACCAGGAGTTTAACACTAAAAATGAGAACAATTCAACGCTCTTTCTACTTGCACGGGTAAAGATCCGCTTACAGCGCTGCTGGCTCAACGTATCACCTTGAAACCAGTGGACACGAAATGGCGTCGACTCGCACTGGCGACAGGGGAAGGCCACGCCCGCTTCCGAATCCTAGTTTCTGATTGGATATCCTGAGCCCGTGTCTGTTTAATCTCTTCGCTGATAGGTTTCGTGCTCTTGCCACTGCCGTTGCCGCTCATTGATGACGACATTCATGTATGCTAATCAATTGACTACCCGACGGTACGTACGACACTGCTAGTTTGTGGCTCTAAAACATTGATGGCTGTCCTTTGTTTTAACCCGAAACCGAGGCACAACTGTAGTGTTTTACTGGTTGAGAGCAGCAGGGGTTAAGTCCTAAAAACAGACACGCTTGCCAGTCTCTATTTTGAGTCTTTACTTTTATTTATTTTTTATTAAGGAGCTAATATGAAAAATTCAGTTAATGTTACATACACAATAGATTTGATCCAATTGATTGTTGAAGTTGTAGTTTATTTGAATTAGTTCCATTAAGACAGAGATAGAAATGAATATATTTTTATGTATTTGATCAAAACCATTATTTTACCAAAACCATTTTATTCATTAACATTGAATAGCATGTGAAATCTCATGCGCTTGTCAATCTCTTACTGGTATAGTGCTCTAAATGTAAAGCTGCAGTGTAACAACAATGCCATTAATAACAATCACACATTGCTTCTGCATATGTCAGCAGGGTCACCACTTCATTTTCCGAGAAAATGCACCTGTGAGGTAAACAAAAAGGAATTCATTTGTGACACGTGACAATCATACTGGCCAACCTTGAGACCTCAGAAGTAGGGAGACATTCAAAAGGGCTGTTGGGGGGGGGGGGGTATACATACATGTACATATATATATATACAAAAAATGGAATGAGCATATTATATAAAGTACCTTGGAGGTCAGCCATCCTCTTCCTGTTTCGAGGCAAAGTAACATCCAATCTTGACATGGACTCGGGTGTTCTCAGTACCTCCTCCAGCCTACCCTGCTCATCATTGTCCTGGAGGAGTATGAATGGATTAATAAAATAGTGCCCTCATACCCCCCAAATTGACTATAATATTTTTGTATAAATTAATTTAGTGTAATAACCTTTGATGGAGTTTGTTGATTTTTTCTTTTTCCTACAGGGGTGTTTGGACCCGGGCTTTCGGTCGCATTTTTCTGTCGCTCCCGCTCTCTTTCTCTCTGCAGTAGGATAGCCTGTTGCATGGTCCTGTACTCCAGGGAAAAGTTACTGATGGTTTTGCAGAAGTCCTCCGGTTTGGTGTCCCTCACCATGGCCCGGGAGTAGCCAAGGAACAGGAGAAAAGAGTGGAACCTAGAAAAAAGTAAAAACGGTGTAAGCAAAGACTTGTTGAGTAAGGAGTCAGTCAGTCTGCCATACCCACTGGCAGATCCATGGCCTCCTGGAAACCACCAATTGCTAGAGAACTTTCAGATAAAATTTATCACAAAGAAGCTTAAGATGCTGCAATGAAAACTTCCTTGTGCTTTTCCTTGTATTGCTAGCAGACTGCTGTGGATGTGTACACTTTGTATGGAAAACATCTGTACAAATAGTCCCCACGGCTCAGGAAGTAGCAGTGAAACTTGAAAAAGTGCTTGGCCTATGTGAGTAAGGACTGAGATGGAAAATGTTTTGTTTGCTAACAAATATCATTTAAAATATGATTAGAGTACCTGTTGATAACCCTACGATGGACGGCTCTTAGGACTTTCAGCCTTTCCTCACACTCTTTCAGAATCTTCGGAAGCCTGTGACGGAGCGAACCGTCCGGGGCCAGGGCCTCATCACCTATCCCTTTCATCTTTTCCCCCTTTCCTCCTTTCCTCTTTTCGTCGGCTTTATTCAGCAGCTTCACCTGCTCCCATGATGCTTTGCACAGGCTCTCCAGCTGGGTAAAGTTAGACTGGACTTGGGAGTAGTCACACTGTAAAGAAGAGAAGGTTTTGTGCTTTCCACAGTTTGCTGGTTTAACTGACTCTATAAGTGATCTTCAGAATGAATCAGCTGTGTTAGACAAATGCAAATCCACAGATGCAGCCACACACCTTTCCACCTTTAGTAACCGCGGTGATGTCCGAGTAGAGGTCAGAGGATTCTGGATAGAGCTGCAGCAGTAACACGCAGACGTGGTGCAGCAGGGGCTGGCGAGTGTGTGTGTCCCTTACCTGAGACAGCTTCCCCAGGTAACTCAGCTCAAAACCACGGGCCTTGGGATAAAACAATGTGTTGCAAGAAGTAATGGAAAGATGGACAAAATCAAGCTTGCGTCGGAATGCACTCACCTTACATCCGTTGAGAAAGTTACCGATCGCTAGCACTGTCGCCAGGATGTACTTGAAGGTCTGGCTGGCTGCCAGTTGTTCCATGCCCAACTTCAGATGGAAGAGAGGCTCAGCAATTTCCTTTTTAAGAGGAGTATACATTTAGAGGGCGTTTTGGTGGTTCATATAGAATAGTTGAGCCATCACATCCATCTTTTATTTTTAGTCAGGTGATGTATTAGGAGAAGTCATCACAGTGGTGTTTTTGCCCTGCAGAACCTGTGTTAGTTTGTATAAGTGCAGTGTCCTTATACAGCAGCATCTCTTGTCCTGCACTTTCATTCAACTTTGCAAGACATTATTTGCGGTTCTCCAAACTGTGCACTAAAGTGTAGTTTATCATGTTTGATTACATTTTATGTGTTATTATCTGACATATTGTGTGTTGTTCAAAGTGTACCATGATACTGCATGAATACAAGCAATGAAAACTGCACATGGGTGGGAGTGGTGGCGTGCCATAGAAAAACAACGAGAGGAGCTTGCCTTGGCTGCTCCTTTTTAGGCAACTTTTATGCAAGCTTCTTCCATCTGCAACAAGCTTCTCTCTCCGTTCTTTGGTTATCACTGTTATGCATCCAGGAACACTGATAAAACCAGACTATTTATAGACTTACTGAAGTCTATGGGAATATCTTAAATGTTTGATGGAGTGCATAAAAATGTGACACCAAGGGGTCTTGGCAAAGCTTCATTATGTAATGATCTGTGAGTGGGAAATTATTGGATTTTTATTTACCCTCTCCAAGGAGTCGTAATCCAGAGCAAAGGCCCAAAGCTGAAGCCTGGTGCTCAAGTGTGGGATTTCCCCCAAAGTGAGGAGGCAAAGCTCAGCCGGTGCCAGAGAGGCATTAGGGTTCTGGGCCTTGGCCTCTTTGATCAGGCAGAGTTCCTCTTCAGTCGGGATCAGTGCCTGAAGACGCTGTTTTGGAATGAGCGTAGAACAGATTATCTTAGACCTAGTTTGTAACCCTTTTATTTTACCTGGGTATTGCTGGGTAGTTCATCAAACAAAAATGCTTTAGCTCGAAATCTGGGCGATTTACCCTTTACTGTACCTGAATGTCCTCTCTTTCTAACACACAGCTGTCCATGCTGTAGATAGCAGGGGGGAGGAGGCGCGCAGGGGGCAAGCTGCTCAGGGCAATAGTTATGATGTTGCTGCGCTTCACTCCCAACACCGATATTGATGGCTGCTTCTGTGTTGAGGGGGAATAAAAAAGGATTTAAGGCATTTTAATCTATATAATGCACATCAGTTTGTAGCTATTTGAAAACCAGAATTACATGGATGAATGAACAAAAGGATGTCTCTGTCATCAGTCTCACCTGCCGCCCTGAAACAATGTTCAGACTGCTGCTATTGGCTTTAGACTTAAACAAGTACTCCAGATGGTTTTTATCCAAATTCACCGGCTCGAGTCTGGCCCAAATGGTCTGAGTCCCAAAGCGTGTCATCCTGGGGAGCGGTGCCAGATTCTGCAGCTCCCTCCAGTGAAGCTTCAAAGTGCGAGACTTAACGGTACCATCTTTAGGTGAAGCTGAGGGCAAAGGTGAGGCGAGAGAAGGAGGAGGGGGAGGTGGGGGAGGAAGAGGAGGGGGCGCCGGAGGTGCTCGGAGACAAATTGATGATTTGATAGTTGTTAGGGTTCCCTCATCCTCTGTGCTGTCTTCCTCATCCCAGAGGTCGGAAAAATCCAAGGTGTTGAGACAGAGGCGTGCAGCTGGTGTTAGCAATGAACTCCAGGATTGGTCAAAATCCCAGGTCAGCTCTTTGGATTGTTCCAGCTCCTTCATTGTTCCTTCAAAGCTGCCTGTAACTCAAAAGTAAAAATCCAATACCATTACCGTGGCGACCTATACTTACTTTTTCCTGCTTAATAAAAGGCTACTCCAAAGTGAAAACTTCTTTTTTATATTAGAAAAAAAGGAATAAGGTTCTTCCACACGTCTTGATCTTTCACATAAAGCAAAACTTAAATCCTTCCTTGTCTTCTCACCATGCATTCAACAACCACCTCACAAACACTCTGTATCCATCTGAATGTCTGTGGATGCTCTGCCTCACTTGTCCACCACAGAAGTGCATAACTCACACACCCAAGTCACAATTTTTCAACCACCTCTGGGTGTTCTCGCTGCACCGTAACCTGCAATTGCCTTAGGGTGTAGCGTTTGTCCCTCGCATCTAAAATGACAAGCCGTGTTTGATCCAAAAGTCCACCGGTATCTTGCCTGGGTGCCAGAAGCTCACAGCCTCAGACAAAGGAAAATTCTTACAATTTTTGACAGGTTGTATTTAGTCCTGTATCCAAATCTGATGAGAAAATCCAAAGAATGCCTGTCTGAATATCCAAATGATGTGCCTCTGTAGCCGTCCCTCGACATTCATCTTCCTCTGTTGTTCTCCAAGTGACAACGAGGGCGCTTTCATGAGGAAGCGAGAGAGACTCGTTCGTCCGTTGGTGTATCAATTTCGGCTTATTTGAGTTGCACCCTTTCCCTTAATTTTCTTATCGAGCCTGGATCTCCTGTTTGTATTGCTACTTGTGTATACAGAACCTCTCTATCTGCCTCTGAAGATCTGTGATATCCCCTCCTCTTTTGCCTCCCCTTCTCCCCTATGAGCACATAAAAGAGTGCAACTGACCAAATGTTGACCTGCTTTCATTTTACATGCAACTTTGTGGACAACAAATCAGCAAACAGTAACTGCACGACATTAGGCCAAAGCACACAATGACGCACCATTATTCCATGCATGCTTGTAAATCCTTTGCTTAAACCTTGTGCTAAAATGGAGAAAATATTCATGGGTACAACAGCATCTCATAACAGAAAATAAATCCTTAATGAAAACAAATTAATGACTTTAAAAAACAGAGTTCAGTGAGCATAACTGCAAAAACACTGCTGTAAGATTGCAAGTTATAATCGTTAATATCGTAGCATTTCAAAACACAAAATACACAGTTGTGTTCTAGGGAGTCGTTTGCATGGTCGACGTGCAGCTCTAATGCGGATCCCTCCCAAGGCCATTAAGCCTCTCCTAATTACACTTTATCTTGTTCAGTGGGCCTGCTGTCTACAAGCAGCAGTAGGGCTCAAGGGACATTTTGGCTAAAATGAGGTCTATTTGCAATGGTTAAGCTCATTTAGCATATACAGTACTGCAACAGTCTCAGACCACCCTTCATATTTACATTTTGGAAAAGGGGGAAATAGGTGGAACAAGTTCTTGAATTGAATTGAAATACATATAAAAATATATGGAAATACAGTATCTAAGGCAAAAACAGAGTTTGTACATTTCTAATGAGCATGAAAGTCAATATTTGGTACGACCACCTTTATTTTTCAACACTGCCTGAATTCTCTCTGGGAAATTTTTGGTAGTCTTCAGGAATAGTTCTTCAGGCTAAGACAAAGCTCTTCTTTGCATGCTGGCCCCCTTTAAATGACCCCGCACTGCTTCAGTGCTGTTGAGGTCCGGGCTCTGGGGAGGCCGATCCATGACTGACTTCCACTGTGTTTTTTTTCTATCTAGGCATGCTTTTACTGCATTGGCAGTATGTTTGGATCATTGTAATGCAGAACAAGGCAGCAAATGCATTTCAGGTGGAATTTAATAGTGGATAAAAACCTGGTGGTACTTTTACACATGAAAAGTCGTTTTGACAGATCTCCAACACCACTGGCTGAAATTCAGCTCCAAACCATGACAGAGCCTCCTCCTTATATACTGATATCAACCAAATATTTTACACTTGAATTCATCACTCATCAGTGCAGTTCTTGTGTAGTTCTGCATACCTTAGCCTTTTCTCCATTTTTCCTTCCTTAAGAATGACTACTTTACAGCCACGTCTCCACTGAGACCATTTCTGTTAAGGGCTTTAAGAAAAAAATCTGTTAGTACCAATAGTGAGGTGTGTGTTCACTAAAACATGTTCATACTTGCAGTTAAAGGCTGAATTAGGTTGACTCTTACCCAGTTACCAGACATAATGTCAGCTGCCCTAACCTAACAATATTTTAGTTATCATGTGACATCTGTACAAAAACAGACAGATCCCCCTTGGGAATGGCATTTCCGGGTGAGTTCTTTTGATTAAAATGAGTGGGAACTTCCATGTCTCCCTCTGTATATTTGTGTTGTCGTGTTTGTATATGTGACTGTATGCATCTCTTTTCAACTGCTTCTCTGTCTGTCCCGGCACAACTGCTGACTGTAACCCTGTGCCAAGATAAAGATCAGGATAAAAACTACCCATAATCGTACCCAGTTTGATGTTTTTGAGAAGTGGGGGGTCAGGAATTAGAGCTTTAAATATTTCATTTACAAGGTCACTTAGAACTAGGACTTATCAATTTAGTTAGATAATAAAGATGCATATATCAGTGACCATGTCACAGTTTTCTAGAAAGAATGCAATGATAGCGTTTAGCTGTTTTACTGATCCAGATACAGTATTATTTATTATTATTATTATTATTATGTCCATAAATGCATTAACCCAAATGCAGAACAATACAATCTAAACTATGTAAAAGTAGCTTTTTTCAGCAGCTATCATTTAAATGAACAAAATGTAGATGATGTTGAAGGGGCTCTGTGTTTTCTGTGTTGTCTTGAAAAATGTGCATGTGAGGATTGATGACTCATCCACTGCAAACCAAATCTACCTGCAGGTACAAATAAAGTATCCTGAACCTGAATCTAAGAGGAACTGGGCATGTGCTTTCAGCTTCATGCCAAAGATTCTCTAGAACAAGCTAAAAAAAGACCTTGAATTACATTCAAACCACTCAACACATGCCTTTGAATGTGCACCATCTTTCGCCAAGCAACTGAAGGTCTTATTTTTCTGAAGACAATTACATACCAGTGTGCCACACTTCTTTCTAGCACACATTCATTGCAACAATGCGGGACTTGTGACCAGTGATGGTACATTTTCTCCTTTCACTGGACCTGATGTATTGTCGGCTCACAAAACCAGGGTGTGACAACCCAGCCAGAGGTAGAGAACAATATGGATTAAAATATTCTGGCAGTTTAGTATCATATCTTATCATTGTTACAGAGTACAGTGGTCCCTCGTTTATTGCGCGAGTTACGTTCCAATGACAACCTGTGATAGGTGAAATCCGCGAAGTAGCCAACTTTTTTTTTTTTTTTTACAATTATTATAGATGTTTTAAGGCTGTAAAAACCCTCACTGCACACGTTATACACTTTTCTCAGACAGGCATGAACATTTTCACACTTTTCTCTCGTATTTAAACACTCTCAAAGTTCAAACCGTAGAAAAATAAGTCCAGTATTATGGAATGAAACCAAAGATCAAACCCTGTTTTCAGGTCCAGAACATGAGAATAGAGCAGCTGTGAGAGAATTCAACACTAATGAATCAGTCGTATGGAAGTGGAGAAAGCAAGAAGAATGACTTGAGTAAAGTTTGACTTTTCTGACTGTTTTGTTTTACTTAATGCACCTTATAATCCGGCGTGCCTTACAGTCTGAAAAATACGGTAACTTCTACCTTCCTTTAGCATGTCCAGAAGTCCAACTGCCTGTGCTATGGTTAGCATTGTCCTCTGCCTTTTGGATGCTACCATAGATGCCTTTGACCGTGCAAAACGTTTCGTCAACATTCTTGTGTTTGTTGGGGATAAAACGTACAGTACAGCACTTCAGAATCACACTGCTAGAGATCGAAGATTTATGTAAATTTGACAAGTTGAAAGCATTCTGTACAGTACGGGAGACACGGCACGAGATTGACTGACAATGGTGTGCAGCCAATCAGGACGCAGAACACAATGCGCTTTAAAAAAAAAGCATGCAAAAAAAATCTGCGAAACAGCGAGGCCGTGAAAAGTGAACCATGTTATAGCGAGGGACTGCTGTACGGACAAACAAGTATTTTTTAAAACAAAGATTTTTCTGTATTTTTTTTTTCTGTTGTTTTTTTTTTGTTTGTTTGTTTTTTAAATATCTCCCATCCACATGAAAATGTCAGAAAACAACCTCATGTGCTGTCAAGGGCATGGCAGAGTAGCATGTGACAACAGCTCATTGTGTAGAGATGTCGGCCAATGAAAATCCTATAAATAGTAACACAGAGCACCATCTGACATCAGGAAAGGAGACACAGGTGCACACTTTTGCCCCTTTCCTTGCTCACCTGTAAATGGAGGAGTTAAAAATCTAAATTCTGGAAGGTGTTTTTATCAAAAGCTCAGTTTTCAGTGGTGTGAAATGGTTCTTACATGTAGATAAAAGCATCAACATACACACACAAAATTGCATCCATATTCACATGTCTGCATACCTGTGGACATGTCCTTGTTTCAAAAACAGAAATGTGCAATTTGACCAAAAATCCAGATTTAAGACCGTGAGCTTATAATTATTATTTTATTTAACCACCGTGGTCCTTTCTACTTCTTTCTGGCATCAAAACACCTGTTTCAAAATGATCACCTTGTTATCATATGATGCTGCAGGTAGAGCAGGTCATCTGCTAGCTGGAAGACTGATGGTTCAGGCTGCTCCAGTCCACATGCCAAATATCCTTGGGCAAGATACTGAACCCTGAGTTGAGTAGTGTGTATTGAGGAGTATGATTGTTAGATGGAAAGCACTTAGGCATACAAAAAAGTGCTTGTATGATGGGTGAATGAGGCATGTTGTATACAGTGCATTGAGTGCTCCAGTACTGTAGAAAAGTGCAATATAAAAAACCTTCATTTGAATCAGGTCATGTTTTAAGAGCACTGAATTATTGGATATATATAACATGAGCTCATATACTAACTCACAAGAAATGGGTGTTTTATTGGAGGAAAGAATGTGACTGGACAGTTAAGGTCCCTGAGTGAGGACAGAGTACCCATAGCAGAGCAGTGCCCAGAATCATGTCTGTGGAACCGTTAGGAGATTCAAGATTCAAAGTGTTTATTGTCATGTGTACAAAGAAAAGCATTTCTCTGTGCAATGAAATTCTTTCTCTGCTGTCCATACATAGATACCGGTTAATATGTACAAATAAAACTACCACAGATAAATACAAATAGTATGAATAAACACTGTAGCCTTAAAAATAAATCCCACTTTTGTTTGTTTGTTTGTTTGTTTGTTTGTTTGTTTGTTTGTTTCTTTCTTTCTTTCTTTCTTTCTTTGTTTCTTTCTTTCTTTCTTTCTTTCTAGTGTTTAAGAGTGGACTAAGTTCTCATGTAGGCCACTCTTTCTCACAGGTTCGAGTTAATTGAAATTTTAAGACATCGAAAAAAGAATTTGTGACTTATGGATAGTAAAAACTATTTGTGAAACGTCATCAGATTTTTTGAAAAATCCAATAATACCTATCTTGTTATTTATATTTTAAGTGTAATTTAGTTTTTACTAAAAATTCAATTTTCAGGGGGGTTCTCAAGTTATACTTTGTAATATTTTGAAACCATTTTTTTTCAACAACTGGATTTACGTTTTGTCTCAGGAAACGTTCACACCTGTTTTTTAGTATTCCGTCCACAGATTCATCATTTTCAAATGTATGAGTGGTACAAAAAAGGCACGCAATGGTTAGCTTCAAAGGCATTTATTTTGAAAACACCGGACGGAAATCCCTGTTATGTGCCGTTGCTTCTCCGCGCTCCCGAACATTCGGTTTCCCAGTGAGCACGCGCTTCCCGGACCGTAGCTGCCCGTCATCGCTGGCGCTGACATCACACGGAGGATTTGCTACAATGTCAAATACTCACAAGCAGCGCGAGCTCATGGCTTCCCCGCGCCACAATGACAAACACCGCCGCGTCCTGCTGCTCATCCTCTAAATACTACACAACTACGACCACAACTACGACCACCGTCCATGGCTTTATTCCGCGATTTTGGACAGGATGCGTTTGAGGTGAGACGGGTCACTCAGTTCTTTTCTAAATTACTGCTTTTTACTTGTAATTCATTTAGTTTATTTCGTAATGTTTTTAATTGAAAATTGTAGCTGATGTTTGAATTCTTGTTTGTTAAAAAATTAAAACCTTTAAACGCAGACGGCGTGTTTCCCCGTATCTTTATGGGAAAAGTTCCCCGGCTCCCTAACGTTGATTGCTGTGCTATTACGTAATGGGAGTGCGGACACTGCTGAACGGATTTTACAGTGAGGTGCCGTGATGACACATCTCTGATAGCACAAGCTCGCGGTTTGCGTAGTAAAGACCGCGTCATATTTGCACACCCCTGTAACACCAAGTTTGTAGCCAAATAACGCATTTATCCCCTCACTGATTCACTCAAAGCACAACACTTCACGGTTTTCCAGGCTGTTAGTTGACCCAGCTATGACTGATTTATTACTGTTTTAAAGAAAAAAAGTCATTTAATTACAGGTCCTCATTGAACAAATACATGCTAAAAACAGAAGAACATTTAAGTGATTTGTGCTTGTATTTTTAGCTGGAAAATATATAAATGTCTAATGTTGCTACTGATGTTGCTCATACTTTTATAATATCTGCAGTGCTGTGAAAATGCATGTACTCTCTTTCTGATTTTTTCCCCTTATTTGTCATGCTTACTTCTTTTAGATCATCAAACACATTTTAACATTACACAGCGATAACTGATTAAAATAAAAAAAATGAGTTTTTTAAATGATGACTTTATTTATAAAAGTAAAAATAAAGCTATCCAACCCCTGTGTGCAAAACTAATTGCCCCGCTTTGTTAAATCATGTTCAGGTTCATTAGCTACTGCCAGACCTGGCGAATCAAGAAATCACTTCAATAGAAGATGTCTGACAAAATGAAGCAGGCTCAGATCTCAAAAAGCAACACATCATGTCCTGATCTAAAGAAACAGCTGATAAACAAAGTCATTGACATCTGTTAGTCTGGAAACAGTTACAAAGCCATTTTTAAGGTTTTGGGACTCGAGAACAGTGGAACACTGGTGAACCTTCCCAGGAGTGGCTTACCAAAATTACTCCAAGATCACCCGGACGACTCAACCAGGAAGTCACAAAAGACCGCAGAACAACATTAAAGAACCGCAGGCCTCACCTGCTTCAGTTAAGGTCAGAGTTCATGATTCAACAATAAGAAAGAGAATGGGTAAAAATCAGACTGCATGGGAGAGGTCAAGGAGAAAACCACTGCAGAGCAAAAAGAACACAAAGGCAGGTCTCACATTTACCAAAAATATTTTGGTGATCCTCAAGAGTTCCGAGAAAATATTCTGTGGACTGATGAGACAGAAGCTGAACTTTTTAGAAAGTTTGAGTCCCATTACATCTGCAAAAAACTAACACAGCAATTCATGAAACAACATTATACCAACAGTCAGACATGGTGGTGGTCGTGTGATGGTCAGGGCTGCTTTGCTGCTTCAGGACGACTTGTTGCAACGGATACATTTTGTATTTATTCTGGTTCTCTTTGTCTAATATTAGAATTAGTTTGATGCTCTGAAACATGTAAGTGTGACAAATATGCAAAAAACAAACCCTAAGAAATCAGGAATAGGGTAACTACTTTTAGTCACTCTGTTGTTTTCAGCACATTGCTAAGTATCAGCATCAGAAGAAGACACCGAGTATAAGGTGTTCACGGTTAAGTGATGACAAACTTTGAACCTGGCTGTGTGCTGTTTGTGCGTCTCAGCAAATCTATGTGAGTGCGTGAGCCAGGTCAGAGGTCATGTTGCGGAGGGAATCCGACTCCCACGGCCTCTTTACCTTCGGAGAGACGTCCGACAATGACTGTGAGGTGAGGCTGTTTATTTATACCTGCTACCGGCGTACCTCTTAGATCTGCATGTGGCTCTAAAGTAGGCTGCAGTTGACACAAAATGTAACCGAAGGAACCCACAGATCCAGTTGCTGAACACGTAATAGCTCAACTTTTTGACTTAATTGTGTTATTTTTTTCCTTTTAATAACTCTAGTGTTCAGCACTTGGCAGTCAAGCATTTTTAAGTAGTAGGCAGATAATGTCAAAAGCCAAAAATCTCTTCTCTGAGCCATTGACAGAGATATGAAAACTTTTGCCAATGATATCCAACAGCCAGGCTCATCCCAGGTCATGTGACAGTGATATTGCTGGACCTTATGTAAGTTTGTACAAGCTTCTTACTCCTTCCCTTTATCTCTGTCATTATGCTGCTGTCTAAGGATAAAAGGGACCAGAAGCTTCATCAAGTCAGCAGATCACAGTTGTTTATCCTCCCTGTCTTTGTCTCTCTGTCTTAGATGGGGGTGAGCTGCAGAGAGGTAGATGTAGCGTGTCTGTGCGAGGCCGGTCCCTGTACACTTTATTCAGAAGCACACACGCCTACGCTGGTGAGTGCTCAGGTTTTCCACTTAAGTGTCTGTGGCTGTCGCTCAACCCACTCAGATCTGAGAGTGTTTCTTCATCTGTAATCAGGCTCTAAATGCTGCCCGACGACCTCTCTGCATCTTTGTCGCTGCCCTGTTTTATTTTAAAGTACCTGTTCAGAGATATCGACGAATCACGTGTTAGCTTTTCGTTTTTTGTTTTTTTTTTCAAGGTGTGAATCTAATCAGTAGGTCTGTCTCTCTTCCTGCTTTCTGTTCTCAGGACACGCGGCTGTGTGAACGCTGTGGAAAAAACAAAGTGATGGTAACCAGGTACTCTGAGGGATACGGCACAGAGGTAATGTGTAGCATATGTGTGCGTGTCTTTATGACAGTGCTCTGTGTGCAGCTACTTAATGCTGTTGCAGAGCGCTGTGTGTGGAGTCCAGATATGTAACACGTTATAAGACTTTTTGATATTTGTGTTGATTTCCTGGCAGGCAGCTGGCATTTTTATAGGCTTTTAAGATTCCAGCTTGTGAGCAGTACATGAGTAATACCAGGGTTCACTTAGGCCAGATGATTGATGCTCATGCCACAGATAGACATTTTCAAAAAGGATTTTCAGTCTCTTAAAACTAGGGTTGGACCATTTATTGCTAACAGATATACAGCACTGTGCAAAAGTCTTGAGCCAGCCCTGACATCTCTATATTTTGTCATATTTTGAGGCAAATACTGAAACTTTTCTGACAAAGTTGTATTTTTACTCAGTTGTATATAGAATTTGTGTTCTATTTTTATCCTATTGTATATTTTATTCTGCTGTATATAGTATTTTATTTTATCCTATTCTATTAGAATAGAATTATCTATTTCTATCTTATCTTATCTTATCTTATCTTATCTTAACATGCACAAACTTACAGGTAAATAAATTTAGTTCGCGGATGACACCACAGTGGTTGGACTCATCTCAAGGGGGGATGAGTCGGACTACAGAGATGAGGTCAACAGACTGACTGAGTGGTGTTCAGTTAACAACCTCCAACTGAACACCACGAAAACTAAAGAACTTATCTTGGACTTCAGGAAGGTTAGAGCAGACCCGGCCCCACTCTACATCCACGGGAACTGTGTGGAGAGGGTACACTCCATGAGGTTTCTGGGCGTGCACATCTCTGATGACCTCTCCTGGACTGCAAATACCACGGCGGTGGTTAAAAAGGCCCAGCAGCGTCTCCACTTTCTGAGAGTGCTCAGGAGGAACAACCTGGAGGAGAGGCTGCTGGTGACATTTTACAGAGCCACCATAGAGAGCATCCTAACGTACGGCATAACAACATGGTATGCAGGGTGCTCAGCTGCGGACAGGAAAGTACTGCAGAGGGTCATCAACACAGCCCAGAAGATCACTGGCTGCTCTCTGCCCAGCCTGGAGGTCACTGCAAACTCTCGGTACCTCAGCAGAGCTGGCAATACCATCAAGGACCACTCTCACCCCAGCAACCAACTGTTTGAACTATTACCGTCAGGCCGACGGTACAGGTCACATAAAACCAGGACAAACAGATTCAGGGATAGCTTCTTTCCCAGAGCTATCACCGTAGTAAATAAGCACAAAAACAACTGAACCTATTCCATACCGTCACTGTCATTATATTATGCTGCTATTCATACTGTCATTATATTAATGCTGCTATCCTGTATATATTGTACATACTATTATTTGAGTACTTACGATTGTTTTTTTGTACTTTTTATATTTTACATTTATATTTATTATTGAAACTTGCACCAAGGGAGTGGCACTCCAATTTCGTTGTACTCTGTACAATGACAATAAAGGCTATTCTATTCTATTCTAAATACAGCATATAAATCAAAAACAGAGCTTGAAAGTCAATATTTGGTACGACCTTTATTTTTCAACGCAGCTTGAAATCTCTTAGACAATCTTTCTTTAATTAATTTTTGAATAGTTCTCCAGGCTTCTTGAAGGACATTCAAAGTTCTTCTTTGTCCTAGATCAAAATCTCCAACACCATTGGCTGAAATGCAACACCAAGCCATGATGGAGCCTTCACCGTGCTTCATACACGCTCACTTATCATCATCATCATCATCATCATTTATTTATATAGCACTTTAAAAACACACCTGGTAGACCAAAGTGCTGTACAATACTAATATGCACATAGTAATAAAACCAGACATAGCAATAAAATGTTAAAAAACAAAACAAACAAAAAAACTTATGTTCCTCTCTCCTGCCTTCCTCAAAAACAAACAAACAAAAATTGGATTCCTCACTCCAGAGGACCTGTTGCTATTGTTTTTCAGTTTGGCTCTTGCTCTGGTTAGATTTTTAGGCCTGACACTTCTTCTGTCCTCTACTTGTCTAGCTTCCACAGATTTTTTTTAAAGGACATCCAGTGTTATGCCAGGTTTTTGGGTAATAGCTCTTTGGGAATACCCTTTTTGGTGTACAAATAGTTTATTTCCTCCATCTTGCACAGATTTCACAAATGAGTACAAGTTTTGTGTTTTGTGACAGGCTGCGAATACCAAATTGTCAGCCACTGGACTGACAGAAAGAGGGGAAAAACCAAAGAAAAACTGTGGAAGAGCTCCAGAAAGGCTGGAGTACTGTTGCTCAAGACCACTTTAAAAAATAAAATAAAAATTCTGGCTCTTTAAAGCAAAAAATTTAAATTAGGAGGGACTCCAGATTTTTGCACAACAAAACTGGCTATAATTGGCTAATACGTATCAAAATGGAAATAAGCACCGCAAATATTTTAATCAGTGAGGTAGGTGATTTGATTTGTGATACAATTTTCCTGAATTGATGGTGATAATGCTAGCTACCCTTACATGAAACAATATCCAAGATAAGGGGAAACATGAGCAATTTACCAAACAAGTCAAATATAATGAAATCATTTAATAAAATGCCTTTATCTGTTTACTGTAGCCTGAACTTAAAACTAGCCTGAACTAGGTAGCTTGTTTAGCAGAGTGCAGCTGTTCTAACATGCTGTGCTGTCAGCGTTAATCTCGTTAAAATTACATTAACACCATAACCACATTAACGCTGCAAATCTCTGTTAGGGAGTTATCGTGGATCACCTTGTGTGTGGGGCTGCATGGTGCTAATGAGTGAACAAGCTAACTGTGTTGACGCCACGAAACCCCACGCAAAGTGGGGCCCCACGAAAGTGATTTTTTTAATGCTAAAAACGTTAGTTTGTCTATGCTGTTTATATTTAAAAAAGTTATCAATATTTGGTATTCTTAAAAAAAATCACAAAATATCGCTATATCTCTGTCATGCAGCTAGCTGCTATAGTTGTGTCTGCACCCACCTGCTCATTTGAGGCCACACCCTCAGTCAATGGAAACTGTAAGCCTTGCTATAATTTAAACCTATGAGTTATATTAAAAAATGGAAATGTAAGGCAGTGTTGAAAAGGGAGATTTTTTTTTGGTAGCAGGCTGTAACAATTTATAGTTGTGTTGCAACATTAGCCATTTTAACATAGGGCGCTGTGGTGACTTGCTTTTGGATTCAGCCTCAAGTGGCCATTACAGGAACTGCATTTTTTGGCCAGAGATAAAAACACACAGCACATTATGTTAATAGCTCATTGTTTTTTGTTTTTTATTTAAATGCTAAACTTGTATTTTCAGTACAGTACAGTACATCTATCTATCTATCTATCTATCTATCTATCTATCTATCTATCTATCTATCTATCTATCTATCTATCTGTCTGTCTGTCTGTCTGTCTGTCTGTCTGTCTGTCTGTCTGTCTGTGACAGAAAGAGGTAAAAAGACTGGTACTGTTGGGATATAAATACTCTCTGACTTCATTACGTTATGGATAGAGGTGTGAGCTGATTCATGCTTAATAACAATGGTGGTAATATAAAAAGTGACGCATTAGCACACTCACACAGACAAATGCCATCATCAAGTGGTATTTGGTTTCACAAACTGTGTTGGTCTGTGATGAGTCACTGGGATTTATGTGTTTCTTTCTTTTTAAAAACTCAAAAAATTGAAAACACTTTTGTATTTGTCATATTTTATCCCAGCTTAATGGCTGCTAACACATTCCTCTGTGTTTCTGTTGGTTATTATATATTTTTTCTTGTCTTTTTCGCTCCATTGCAGGAGGAGTGTGTGTTATCTGACCCTCAGGGGGAGAGTGACGCAGATGCGGATATAGAGGATACAGACTGCAGGTCACCGACGCGTTCATATTCACACAGTGTGCTGCGCTGTGCCTTACTGTATCTGACCTTGTGCCTTTGACTCAATTTGTTCAGACTCCAGGAGCCTGGCTCTCTCCAGCGAATCAGCTCACGGAGACGGAAACGTCCTCGAGTAGCGCGACAAGACACCACAGAGAGCGAGGATGATGGCGGGCGAAGCCATAGATCCCATCGATGGAATCTGAGGCTTAGTCCTGACAGAGCACACAGCAGAACCATACTCGAGGTAAGAAGAAATAAAAAAAAACAAATCAAAATCAAGCAATCAAGATGTGATTGTGGTGCAGACCTTCAGCTTTAATTCAAGAGGTTTTTATTCAAAAATCCATTAATTTTATGCATTTAGTTGAATACTCCAAAAGAGTGTTTCACTCGGTTGACATCAGGTCACTGTAGAAAATTCTATTTCTTTGCCATGAAAAACTTTTGCAGCCTGCTTTGTATCATCCAATCAAGCTTGCAGCATTCGGTTGAATCTGAGCAGAGAGTATAACCCCCTCTGCACTTCAGAATTCGTTGTCCTCTTCTATCAGCAGTCACATCATCAATAAACACGACATGGACAGTGTATCCATGTCATAACACTGCCTCCACCGTGCTTGACATACTAACTTTTCCCCTTCTCGTCCATCATTGTGATAAAAGTCAGTCTTGATTGTTCTGTCCAAACATATGTACACTTGGCTCTTTCACATGTTTTCTGAGTCTTGAGCCTGTAACCAGTGGTTTGCACCTCATTGTAAACATCTGTTTCCATTAACAAAAGCATCTTTTGATTGGAGACCCAATGATACACCTACCTGCTTGAGAGTGTTCTCGACGTTCTCGATGTTGTGATGTTTTTTCTCTTAACCATTGAAATAATCCTGCCATCTTGCACTTTTAGTCATCTTCTGTGGTCCTTCAGGCCTTCTGCTATTGGTATCAATTATTCATTCATATTTGAAATTCACAAAAACTCAGATATTATGTTTGCTTTATTTGTCATGAAATAACGAGCTGCTTGTCAGTCAGTTGTCCAATTATACTTGAGCCTTTGAATCAGTGTTGCCAATTCCTCAGTAAGGAAAATCGCTATTGGTTGTCCTAAAAGTCGCTAAATGACGTCATCGCCTAATTTGCATAATTGATGTTGTTGGAGAGAGAAATAACATCGTGGAAGTGACATAAAGTGAGTAAAAAACGTCCTAAATGCATTTAGAGTTTATTTATAACTACAAATTAAATTTATTTTAGCAATTATTGTTTTTTTTAATGTCACAATTCCAACCCTGCTCCTTTACCCGGGCTTGGACCGGTAAAAGTGACCCGAAATAGGCGCTCTGGTGGAGTTACTTTATGTGTGTGTTTATAAGTAGTTTTAAACCTTGTGATCCACAAAACAGCATAAGAGTAAAAGAGTAAAAGAAGAACTGACTGCGTTAGAGCACCTGCTGCTTGTTGAGAGTAAAAGCGATACGCGCTTTCACGTCTTTTTTTAGCGACTTTCTTTAGAAAAAAAGTCGCTAAGGGGTCTGAAAACTCGCTAAATATAGTGACAAAGTCGCTAAGTTGGCAACACTGCTTTGAATATGGCTTAATCTTTATAGAAATGGTAAAGTAGCTAATACAGTACTTTTGTTAAACCCCTTGAATTAAAGTTGAAAGTCTTGAATATTGATTGTTTGATTTTAAATCTACTATGTGGTGTACAGAGAGAGAACATTGCCCCCTGAAAAGTGTCATTATCCAAATACTTTCTGACTCACTGAATGCACAGAATTTTCCAGGTTCATACTATTACTTCCCTGTTGCTTTAATTAGTTACTCTGCTCATTTAGGGTCTAAAAATGAAGTACAAACAGAGAAATTGAGGTCTATCTCAGTTCTCTCCTGCGTCTGCCTTTCAGGAGAGCATATCACAGGTCAGGCCACTGATCATTTGCAGGCCAAACGTGGAGAAGCAGAAGAGTCCTGATGAGGTGACCCGAGGCTCCAAACTGACGTCTCTGTGGCCGTCGTCCTTCTCTCTTCCTCTTATCCTCCTCCTGTCATTACCTCTCTCTGTTTCTCTCATTGTTTTTATCGTGTCTTTCCTCCTTCCGTGGGCCAGTGCTTGACCCCTGCCATGCCTGCTTCAGGATATTAGTTTCATTCCAGAAATTACAGAAAGTTCTACCGACTCATATAATGTAGTGGATAGCGTAATTTCTTTATAAACGAGTAGAAAGACTTGAAGATAATAATAGATTAGCAATACTGAATTTGTGTTCAATGTTTCTTTTCCTCCTTTCTTTAAATATCTTGACTTTAAGCGAAGGTCGTCCCTCGAAACCAAAAAGGCACTGAGAAACTTTCATAACGTGGCGCATTTTGATCGAGAATGTGCTCACAGTGAACACAACACAAACTCAGCTCCTGCCTCTGTCTCATAAAATCTCACCTTCCGTCTCACTTTTCCTCACCCCCTCGTTTGTAAAAATAGACCTCTCATCTCGCTCCTTATTCTAACAAGCCACTGGAGTGACACAGAGGGGGGGGGGGGGCAAGGTTTTATGGCTGTGCAGGTACTTTTAAAAAGGAAACTAGGAGGCTCGGTAGGAAAACCTGCGAAAGACAATGCTGCCGAACTATGCAATCCCTCTGTTTGTACCGCGGCATCTTAACTGCTGTTCGAGTACGTCTCCTATGTCCTTGGCACTGTCGACACCTTCGTGGCCCCCCGTCCCCTTTTCTTCCTCTGAGGAGTACAGTTTGTGAATGCAGGGACTCGATGGTTCCAAAGTAGAGCGTGACCCAATTTAAAAAGCATTACCAGGAGAGATCTGATACAGCTCCCATCGTGTATGATCTACAGCACATCTGTTATAACGAATAAATTACATGTATTAATTTACGCGCCGCAGACCTCAAAATAAAACGAGCTTTGGTGGCAGTGTGTTACAGGAGTTTGGACACTATTTCACAGTCTTACATTCATATTTAAGAATGCTTATGTAAATTATGATTTAAGAGGACTAAGCTTGACAATCAGTCATGCTGTTTATTTCAAGCTGGAATATCTAGAAAACGCCATCTTTTGGCTATGTTTGTACTGTACATTTCATTTTATGTTGTTTTGTATGTGTTTTGAAGTTAGGGTTGTTTTTTCTTCTTCCACACGTCACACTACTGATGCTTGCTTGCCTGTAGAAAAATGATCATTTTAGGTTAATATCAGGTTGCACTGTGTTAACTGGTTAGTTTTAGAGATTTTTCTCTCCTAGTTTGTTGTCATGTTGTAGTCTTACATCTTATTTCTATATGTGTTTATCTCTGTTTCATGGGGCCCAGAAATTCAATAAAACTAGATTGTATTTTGACAACAAAAGCCTTTCTTTCTTTCTTTTTTTCTCCACTACCACTTTAAAACCAAGCAGGTTGCAGAAATGAGGCTAAACTGCTGACTTATGTCTTCGTTATAGCTACTACCATTAGCACTCATACATCTTCAAATGTAAAATAGTAAAAACCAACACAATTGTATCTCATATCCCCGTATTGGGCGTTGTTTTTGGATTATTGTAGTAAATGCTGGTCCAGGTTCAACATGGCAAGTGACCAATTGCATTGTTATGATGTCATAGTTTTGCATCGTGGAAAAAGCCTGTCGATGGACTCTCAAGAAAAAATAGGATGGCAGTCAGGGTTAGGGTTTGGTGTGTGTTGTGATGGTGTTTCCACATTGCAAAACTATGACATCACAGCTATGTCACTGGTCACTTGCAGTGTTGAACCTGGACCAACAACAACACGAACACAGGGACATCATATCATGCTGTCTTTAACCGGGTGGCAGGAAATATAATAACACACCAGGTTACAAAAATCAAGAGGTGCACGAGTTAGCGAAAACGGCAGCTAATGACAACACTGACAAAGTCGATATCAGTTTAACGTCAACTTTGTGGTACAGTTCTGTTTGCCAGGCAGGACATGGTGGGTATAATGGGGTCCTTAGCCTCTGGGAACATCAGCGGTTTCTTTATTTTACTGTGTCCGGTGTAGTCAGGATATCCAGATAGTAGATAAGGGTTTTCCAGTTCTGGACTTTGTGCCTGCCATTGCTTATCATTGCAGTTAAGTTAATAAAATAAGTCAATAATAGTCTAAAATCTCCCTTTTCGAGACTGCCTTACATTTCCATTTTTAGACTATAGCAAATGGTTTGGAAACTGCATTTTGAAGGAACCAAAGCTGGTTTAAACTGGATTGTTGAGTAAAGCTCTGACTACAAACTGACTACACTGATCTTCTGGTACCAACAATTTTGCCCACACTTTCTGCATTTTCATGTCCAAAATTCAGTTTTAGGTGGTTACACATAGGATTATCTGTAAACCTCCAAAAGCCTCAGCAACACTTTAGGTCAACCGCTATGACTTTAACTTTTTTTATATATATATATTTCACTTCACTCATTTCTGTCCCACTCTGTGATCTAGATTACACTTGCATTGATCTTATCTTGCAGGATCTTATCAATGCAAATATGTATATTTTCCCACCCATCCATGGTGATCCTGGAGCTCATCCCAGGTGACACTAAATGAGAGAGAGAGCTGTACAAGTTGCAGGTCAGTCACATGACATTTTTGCAAAATGTTGAGTTATTGTTTCTGATTTTTTTTTTTTTAGACCATGCAGAGTTACAGAATAGGCACTCTGACAAAAGATGACAGTGCTCGGTGCTTGAACTACTTGTGCCTCTCACTCTGTTGAGCCGAAAAAGAAGAATGCAACCCTCATGTCCCAGCAGTGTAGCTGCTCTTGACAAAAGGGCCTGAAGGGGGGAGGGGGGGTCCAATAACGAGGTTAGCGCTCTTCACTCCTCCTCCTCCTCTCACTGCTTGCATTGCCATGGTAACAATCAGAACTGCTGCAGAGGAAACAGACTTTTCATAAGTAAGATTGTGAGCAGCTGCCCAAAGCTAAACTGTAGGTAATAATGTAGGTACAGAAGTGTATCCGTATCTGCCGTGAATGTATATACAATGGCAAATATCTGTACAGGTTGTTCCTGAATGGCGACGTTTTTAGGGTGTATTAAAGCATTAAAAAAACATCTTACAGACAGTTGAATGCTTACAAGCACACATTCAGTGTGAAGAAATGTTTAAGCACTCAAGTGCTCTTTTGAGTGCAGTTGAAAAGGGGCCTTAATCACTTGCCTGCTTGTTTAAATCCTTCTGCGTGTGAATGCACAGTAGGCATGTGTTCGTGTGATGCCTCACATGTGAAGCCAAAGTCACCGTGTCCTCAGGTAGGAGTGTTTTTTTTTAAGCGATCTGTTGCCCACCAGTTTCATTTCCAAAACACCTACTCACAGTCCCGAAACTTCAAAGCATGTCAGTAGATTTTTATTAGGAACCCACAGTGTGAACAAAACATCCATTGATCTTAGAGGATGTATGAAGCAGGGTTTTGATTTTAAAGATAAAAGATCTTCAACCAGTGATATTGAGCTTAAACACATTTAAACAAAACAGAGACAAAAACAGCAGCTAGCATGAACGAGATCAACACTGCTGTACAGACAAAGATCAAATCAAAATGTTTTTTCAAATGAGAATAAATGCACCTAGCCGTTTTTGCTGCAGTTTCCTTATCAGATTAAAATGGTACACTTTATGGACTTATACATTACACCTACAGGAGCTTCTTGGTTGTGGAAACCCATGCCATGAAGTTCTCCGTGGACAGTTTTTATGCTGATGTTAATGCCAGAGGAGGGTTGGAGGTCTGCAGTGACTGAGTCAGCCAAGTGTTTGTGACTTTGTACACTAAACTTGTGAATGAGTTGCTGTGGAGCCCAAACACTTCTACTTTACAATAATCCACTTAAAGCTGATGGTGGAATATTTAGTAGGACAGAAATTTCATAAACTGTCTTCCTGCATCAGCAGCATCCTATCACAGTATCATATTGGAGTTCAAGGGGCTCTTTAGAATGCCCCATTCTTTCACAAATAAATAAAGGCAGTAGAGACAGACTGGAGGCCTGATTTTGCACACCTTTGGCAATGGGACTGAAAATATCTGAAATGAAAGACAAAGAGGTGTGGTTCTAAACTTTTGTATGAATGGCATGAATACAATTAGTCCTAAAACAAAATATACCCCACTACATCCCAAACCTTGACACCGTATTTTCTTCAGTGTCAACCTGATTAAAAAAAGGAAATAAAAAGGTACTTGTGATTAGGTTTGCTTACCTTCTGAGATTTATGCTCCACTAAATTATAACTAGACGTTTAGAACCTGCTTAACTCTGAAGACCATTTAGTAATACGGCAAAGAAGATTTTAAAATATCTTTATAAAATTCTAGCAGCTAATATATTGACAGATCTTCTAAAACTGGGACTTCCTGTCTAATTGCCTCTGATTTGACAAATGTTTTCAACTGACTTGAAGAAACTTGTTTCCAGCTTAGAGATTTCTTGGATTTCATTGGTTAGTCAAAACTAAACACTACCTAGCACTGTGACGGGACAAATTCACAAATAGCTGGCGCAGGCCAATCCAGTTACATTTCTAAAAATGTGGTAATGCAAGGAGAGAGCATATGTATGAATGCTATTTTCAAAGTCAAGGTTACACAGTGTGACCCAGCTGTTTGCTTTCTCTGTTAGCACAAAAGCCTTCAAGTCAACAGGTGTTGTTTGTTTTTATGCCCTCTTGGCCTCCTCCTCCCTCTTGCGCCTTGACCCACATTCCTCTGTACTTGGATGTGGAGGAGCAATGTGATCTCACTGATGACCCTCTAGGCATTTAAAATTTATCCCCAAGTCATATGCCTCAGAATGAATAAGCCTGCCAAGGCTTCCCGAGATGTCGAGGTTGATAGACTCAGATGGGCAGAGATTCAGCTGCCTCCAAGTCATTGCCTTGTTTATTACTTGCTTTTGCTTCTTCCAGTTTGCCTTTTAGAACTGTTGAACACAATCCCTACACTAATAGACTGCAAAGTCCTTCATTTAAGACCACAACAATAAACTGCACATCCTTTGGAGATATATCAGATATAAGGAATAAAATGAGGACAAAATTGGAAAAAAATGTGACAATATTTGACAATATGGTAAATAAAAACATAACCGTGCCATTTTCAGACTTTTGTTGGGTGTCTGCCCGAAGCCTCATGATGTCTAGAATTTCCACCACCTAGTGATATATTACACTGTATACAGGAGCTTATTTGGTTATATGAGGAATCATGCACTCTCACGCCACTCAACGCCACATGCAAGAGGGGAGAGAGAGGCAGGAGATGAACAACACAGCTCTTGTCTGCAGATGAGGTAAGGTCTGAGCTGTTTCACAGTGCGAAGTCCAGCTCAAGAAGTAAGTGATCTGCAGTCTCTTTGATTCCTGAGGTGCAAATCTGAAAGATTAAAGTAGCTGTGAAGATTATAGGTCTACTGGACACTCTGGCAGTTGCTAATTCCTGCCTTGAGAAGCAGTAGGATGTATGGAAGAGAGTGATGGAGAAGAGAAGGAGACGATTGTGGGACAGGATAAGATGCTGGATTAAAGCAGAGGTGTGTAATAAAGAAGAAGAAGAAGAAGAAGGGGTGGAAGAGAATGGTGAGGATGCTGACAGCAAGGAAGATGATGTGAATGAGGAAGAAAATGAAGCAGGAGGAAATCAAGATGAAGAAGTGCAGGCAAAACCGGAGGTGAGGGATGCAGAGGAAACTGAAGATGACAAAGGAGAAAGTGGTTCAGAAACAGAAGGTTCTGATTTCACAGTTTCTGAGGATAAATATTTTAACAAACACAGAAATGAAGATATCTCTGAAACTCAGACTACTCTGGAGTGGAATGGAGAATTCAACGGTGAAATATTGACAGATGAAGAAGAAACTGTCACAGAATCTTGGGTCACTAAAGAAGATCGTGAAGAAGAAGAGGAAGCTTCTACAGATGATAAGGAAACAGAACCTTCAGTGGATGAAGATGGGGATTTTAGTGATGAAGATGACATAAAGACATATTTCAAAGATGATTACCCCATACATGTTTTTCTCACCTTGAATGAATTCAGGAGTTCATCCGTTCTCACCGACCTTACTTTGAGGACAGAGGATGGGATGCGTTTCTGTGTGCACTCCCCAGTGCTGGCTGCTGTCAGTTCACTTACCTGTGATAATCTAAAAAGAAGCAAAGCAGGAAACAAAAGAGCTGATGAAAGAAAAGACGATGACACATGTGTTAGAGTTCACCCGTGGTCAATCTCTCTTGGTCCTGAGGTAGAGCATGTTGGGTTAGAGGCGATTGTGGAGTTTGCCTACACTGGACAAATACCATTCTTAAACAAGGATAATCTGGACAAGATAAAGGCTGCTGCTCAAACACTGGGTGCACCAAGGGTTCTCGATCTCTGCACTGAGGAAGAAGAGAAGTCCACAAAAACTGGAGGGGATAAGAAAAGGGAAAGTATTTGTACTGCACAACAAATGACGATCAGCCTTCAGTCCATCCAACAGCTGTGGATGGACAGAGTGGGATGTGATGTGACTCTGGAAGCTTGTGGTGGATCGCTTCATGGTGAGTAGACCATTTAATGCTGTCTGGATGCCCACTTTAACTTTTACCTATTTGCTTAAGTAAATTTCTGTGTTGTGATACATTTTCTTTCATCCACAAGTAGGTCCTCAATCAAATTTAACATCACTTCATTCATTGCAAAAGTGACTATATTCAATATTAGATAAATGTGTATTGAGAATTTTACCATCAAATATACATTTTCTTAAGATGCATCTGTAGTTCTGCCAAATAAGTTTTCAGGTTGTTCATATTTCTGTTTTTTTGCAAGGCGACTACTGGGTGGTCCAGATTTCCATATTGTGGAACATTTGACCATCAAATAAATCTGGATTTACATTCTGCACAAAGTGTGTAGTAAACATACGTTGGGCCTTTATAGGCTTCATCTTTAATGAAGTACATTATAAAACAAGCATGTGACCTGGATATGTTAGAGATATTTACTCATTGATGTCTTTCATCTAGTCCACAGAGTTATCTTGGCTGTAAGCAGTGATTACTTCCGTGGCATGTTCACCTCAGGGATGAAGGAGTCCCATCAGCCTTTTGTGACCCTTCCCTTCCTTTTGGCATCAGAATTAGAAGTTCTAATTGGCTGCTCTTACAGTGGCGCTCTACCTATGAGCTGGCAGTGCATCTTTGAGATCACCAGCACTGCTCTCCAGCTTCAGTACCAACCTGCACTTTCCTTGTGCTACAATTTCCTGTGTCAAGAAATTAATCCTCAAACTTGTCTGGATGTGGTATCTTTTGCTGAGGCCTATGAAATACCACAGCTTCTTGAATTTGCTGATGATTTTGTCCTCCGGCATTTCCAGATGGTGGCATGCACCTCAAAGTTTACGGACCTGTCAGCTAAAAAGCTCTTGATGTACCTAAACAGTAACTCACTTTATGTTCCATCTGAACTTGTTATATTCAAAGCAGTGGCAGCTTGGATCCAAGCAAAGCCCAGGATAAGGCTCAGACTAGCTCATGAACTTATGAAAACTGTCCAGTTTCCCTTGATGACATTCAAGGAATTCAAGGAAGTGCGATCTCAGACCATGTGGTGTAATCCCAACATGGCAGAGCTGTATAAGGAAATCTTTGAAGATTTCTGCTCCAGTGAGAGTGCACAGCATCAGTTCCGCATCTATATGCCAAAAGAGAGTCTCGTTCTGATTGGAGGTGACCAGATTTCGGAAGACCTGAGCAGCCGCAGCATCAGCAGAGAACTTTGGTTTGGGAATTCCCTCAGGAATCACATAGGGGTAAAAAAGGCATTGGAGTGGAGAAAGCTGGGAGAGATGCCTGAGCCAGCAAGATTCGGGCATGAGGTGGCTGTCCTAAAAGGACGATTGTATGTGTTGGGAGGCAAGAAGTATTATGGCATTGGTGACACCCTTAATAATGTTTACAGGTAAGAGCGGTTCATTGTCAACCCTCCAAAAGCAATAATAACATATACTTAACTGTTTCTTATATGTGCATAATTTCACCACCTGTAGGTATGACCCTTGTGAAAACAGCTGGGAGTTTCTGGCTGAAATGCAAGAAAAAAGATGCTCATTTTCAGTGGTTGTACTTAATGAAAAGATATATGCCATCGGCGGACACAGTGAGACCGATCCTATAGATAGTGTTGAAAGATACTGCCCATCTACAAATTCTTGGAGGTAGGTTGGGGAGAGCATTCATTGTTCATTACCATGTCATTACATTTCTCCTAAATAAGCTGTTTAAAATGATTCAAAACTTTTCAAAATATTGTAGTTTGCTGTCACAAATCACTCATCTTTTCTTTTTCAGTTTCACCTCACCCTTGGATCTGCCTCTGAGCGGTCATGTAGCAAAAGTTACCCAAGGACAGATCTTCATAACAGGAGGGGAAAATAATGATTACCTCTGTGTTGCATCCCTCTTTCTGTACCATCCAGAAACAGGAAGCACCTACCTGGCAAACATGGCTTCACCTCGAGCTCATCACTGTATGGAGATCTTGGGTGAATATCTTTACGTGGCAGGTGGAGTAACCACTGATGATACCATGACTATTGTTGATCAGCTATCTTGTGAAGTGTACAGTCCAGTGGCTAACTGCTGGACTGCCTTTGCATCTCTGCCAGTGCCGCATGTTGGAGCAGGAAGTGCCGTTTTGGAGGGAAGGTTTTATGTGCTGGGTGGATACAGTCAGGAGGACTACACCGACACTAAGGTGGTGCACCGCTATGATCCTGCCAGACAGAAATGGGAGAACATGGGAAAGATGCCCAGGCCAAACAATGATATCCGTGCATGTCTGCTGTGTTTGCCAATGCATTTGCGACTATAAGACATGGTAATAAATCTCATTATTATTTATAATCACAAGAGGAGAATATCTCATTATAAAGTATATGAATTAAGGAGAGATACTTTGAGCTGAACCGCGTAAAGGAAATGAACTGGAACTGTTAATAATTTAAATTAAACAATATGTTTTTCAGTTTTCTGAAAGTTTTTGTCAAAATATCTATCTGAATTTTCTTATTTTCATATAGTGTGTGTGTGTGTGTGTGTGTGTCAGATATTTAGTGTTCACTTTGGCATCCGATTTTCTTTGGTTATATAACACAAGGTTTAAATTTGATATGAATTAAACTGAACTGTGTGTGAGTTCCACAGCAGAATGCAATAGAAAGGTACGATCACATGAGGGAGCTCTCTGCCTCCCCTCTTGTCTTTACCAAACTTTGTGGTGGGATGCTGGTGAAAACAGCTGTCACTGTAAAAACTGTACACAAAAAGGTTGTTTTGCATTTATTATTCGGAAGAAGTTTCTCAATTTATATTTGCATTAAATTCTACTTGAAAATAAACAACAATGAACTGAGTCCTTTAATAATATAAGTGCACATATTCAGGTAAGTGCTGAGGTAATATTAGGTCAGATCATTAGAAGTTTACACAGAGATAAAGAGATTTGATGACTAATGCTGCTTTAACATTTTAAGACAATGCATAAACCATGAAAGAGTAAAACAAACAAACAAAAAACAGGTTTTGTGGCTGTTTAGGTTATTATACACCGCTGTATTGACCCCACAATTCTACATGCACCCAATCAACAGCAACCAGCAGAGCTACTGCATTGCTGCTGCTGCCAGTGCCGTCTGTTGAAGGGCTGTCATATGTTGAAATTTGACTGACATTATTCTTCACAAGAATAGCACCTGCTGTGTGAGTGTGAGAGTAGTAGAGTAGTCGGAACTACTGCAACTGAGCAGAGACCATTCACTGGTGCTGTGAAGATTCCTGCAACAGAATAAAGGAAATATATTGTTTTCTTTCTGTCCAGCCAGCCTGGCTGTAGCTCAGACTGTAGAGCATCATGCAGGGTCATCTGCTAATTGGAAGGTTGGTGGTTTGATCATGCCAAATATAAAAAGCAGTGGTTGGGTGAATGTGGCATGTTGCATAAAGCGCTTTAAATGCTCCAGGGGAGTAGAAAAGAAAAGTACTGTATTATGCTAAATATAGCATTCGGAAAGCGATAAATGGGTCCAGCATTGAATGTGTTTATCCAATGAAAAAATCTGTTCAATTGGTCGCCACATTCATGTTGTGAAGCAGCTGAGTTGTGGATTTCAAACCCCAGACTGTGTTTCAAATACAAATACTTCTCTTTTGCCTTCATCCACTCACTGATGTCCATGTCGCCTTTCTGTCCACATCCTGGCTCAACAAACAAGAATCACAACAACAATCACCTGAAGAACTACGAGTTTTTTTTTTAGTCCCGTCTTAGTTTGTTTCTTATTACTTAAAATAGATAAAGCTGAAAACCTAGAATTTCATGGCACTAAATTAGTAACGTACGGTTATGGTGTAACCTGGGTTCTCTAGCATATCGAGACTATCTCTCCACACGGTATCTCGATATGCTAGAGAACTCAAAATTTTAAGATGATAACCAAAACTTTTGAAATCATAACTCAAAATTACACTTACCTCTGCTTGCTTTGCACAGAAGCAAACTTCCACACATCTCCCACAAAAATCAATTCTTCTAAACTAATATTCATATTTACTAATTAATTATAATACGTTAGTAACGCTTACACTAATGTGTATGCTGTGCTTGTTGTCATGAAAAGGTTGTCTGATTAAATATAAAATGATCTGCTTTGTGTTGCTTGACATTTTCATTGCTTGACAAGTTCATAAAAGAAATATCAAAGAACTACAGCAATGTTGGAAGCAACATTTTCTACAATAAACTTTTTAAGGACTTTGGACCAGTTTGATTAATATATTATGCCTTTTACTAGTGGGTTTTTTTTTCTCCATAAATGATTTAGAGAAAAAAAGAAATTCTGTTTACCACAAGCAGTCCTTTATAGTTCACCAGTTCACCTTCATGACACTGACTATCACAGCTACACTTCAGGGGCCATCTTGCTGAAGAATCGGCATTTCCAGATGAGCGCCTGGGAATTTGGAGGACTGGATATCACCGGCAAATCTATTGGTTCAACATCATCCTGTGGAGAGCTGGTTTTTCTGGTTTAGCCATGTGAAAAATGTTTCAGTGTTTCCTTTTTGTCATGGATTTGCCCCTCTTCTTTCTTCTTATCAACTATTATTATTTTGTACGATACTAAATCGGCATCTGCTTTCGATGAGAAATCTGTTTGGTTGTACAGGTCGAATTTGGTTAACTTTGGTCAAATTTAAATCTAAAAGGGCCAGGTTCAACTCTCTTTTTTAAAGCAATTTTGAACATTTTTTGTGTATTTAACTTAGATCGTCCTACTGTTTCTTCCCATATCGCAGGTTGGCATGAAAGGATAACCAAAAGGTTTCAGCATTTTACATTTTAGCAACATTTTACATTCATGGATTCATTGTGAGTACAGGAGGTTTAATTGTTTTTTTTATAAAAACATTAGGAATCATCACATATTGGAGTCAAAACTTTTTAATAGTAATCATATAGTAAGTTGAAACACAAATGGAAAAACCAAAGCTTTCAAGCTGAGTCAAAGCCCAAGCCCAGGCAATAACACAGCACTATAGGCAGCAGCAATTCAATTTTATTTGTACTATATAACTTCAAATCACAACAGCATTAACCTTAAGGCAACTAAGCATTATATCTTTCCCTAGTAGTGGAAGTTTATACCAAACAAAAATATAATTCACTGTCTTGCATTCAGCTGTTACATAAACGTTTAGAATCTCTCAGAAGGAATGATCTTAGACTCTCAGATAGTTTGATCTGTTTGGACTCAGATAGGGATGGTTTGGAAAGCACATGGTCATTTCCTGGAAAGATTTGAATAGCTAAGCCTGTAAGAATATGAAACCAGATCATTTATCATTCAAAATGTCACTGTCATGTGGTGCCAATGAAAATTCTTCAGATCTAAAAGTTTAGGTTGTAATGCTTTCATCAACTCTGTATCACTTAATTTTTGCTTATTCTAACTTGACAGCCCCCCATCAGAGAGAGAGATAAACTATCATATTTACACTATCAGTCAAGTTTGGGCACTGTCACTATCTGCAGAAGCAGACTGTGTGGAGTGAGGAGGTGGACCAAAGTGAGGACACGTGATAATTAAACTTGATTTTAACAAAGGGCGAGCTGTTTATTGAAGGCTGGTAAAACAGTACAAAAACAAAAGGCAAAGGCACAATTAAGCTATAACCTAAACTAGGTGAGCTAAACATAAAGAACCTAGAACATGACAACCTGATGTGGAAAACCTGAAACACGAATGCTGCACCAAGTGAGAGTTAACAGTTATTAAGAATTAGCTATTACGATTAGCCTGTGGTCAAAGTAGTCATTCATTTCAAAATGATAAACTCCATCTATTTTCTTACCACTTACATATATATTATTCTTATTCACACACACAGGCCTAGATGCTGATACTAGATACTGGCAACCTTCTGGTACCACTGGTTGCAATTATTCATGAAGGTTGATGGCAGTCACTTTAAAACTGATTGAAAAACACTAGTCAGTGAACCCCTAATAATGGCAAGCTGCTAGGGAAAAAGATTGCCTGTTGAAATTGTTTCTTGAGGCTACTGGCAGCTGCAAAAGAAAATTGGTCACAAGGAGATATATGGTGCTGTACTAAAAACTTTCTTGCAATTACTTTGATCAGTAGCAGATTATCTGTATTTCTTATAGTTTTATATCAAAGATGCTGACTTATCTGCAAACACTCTCCAACTGCTCTTTGTATGATAGTGAAACCATGAAAGCTCCAACACATACCTCAATTAGGGAACACTTGCCTTCAAAGTAAAATTTGTGCCTTTTGAAATGTGTTGATTTAACCAATAAGGCGTAATTTTCACTTAAACAAATGGTCTCTGCTTCTGGTTTTCATTGCACTTCAAGTCTTACTACTGCTCTGCAAGTTAAACAATACATGCAAACAACTCAACATCTTCCATCCAAACCATGGTTGACTGGGTTAAACAGGTTTTAACCAAAATAGTCATAAGGAACAGCCTTAGTGCAGCATCCTCTTTGCAACTGCCAGCAACCTCCAGCAACCACTCACCAACTGGTTGGAGAATACATATTTTTTCCAAGCAACTTATGGTTATCAAAAGGTTTGCTGACTGGTCTGTAGGCCTGAGTGACTGAGGCCTTAGATATCCACATTTGAATATTTTACTTCTATTATTGCAGTAATTTCAGTGTTTAAACAGACTGCCTAATTGAGGAGTGTATCATTTTAATAAAACAGTTACTGTCTGAGGTGCTGGGGCAGGTGCATCAGACAAGCTCGGATGTCTGTAACAGCTCCAGGCAGTTTGCCCATGGTCTCCCATCTCTGCATGATGGGATCAAAGCGGTGGACCAGTGCAGACTCACTGTAGTCATCCTGGCAATACCCTCCCAGTACATAGATCTTCTCCTCCATAACAATGGAGGCTGCACCAACATGGGGCATGGGCAGTGACGCAAAAGTAGTCCAGCAATCAGCCACAGTATCATATACCTCACAAACTAGTTGATCAGTGTAAAACTTCCTTAGGTTACAGACTCCACCGGCAACATATAGATGACTCTGTAGGGCTTCCATGCAATGCTGGGCTCTATCATAGGTCATGTCTGCCAGGTAGATGGTTCCCCTCTCTGGGTGGTACAGACATGTGGAAACAAGGCACTCATATTTGCAGTTGAAACCTCCAGATATGAAAATCTCTCCATTAATGATAGCAGCAGCATGCCCACTCAGAGCCAGGTCCAGCGGTTGGACAAAGCTGTGAAACAAGAGAAGCCAGGCAGTCATGTCCAGATGGACAGTTGTAAGGAAAATTTTTTTTTTTTTTTATCTGCCTTGAATCCAATATACCACAAAATGGCATTACTTGACATATATGTAACTTTAACAAAACAATTTTATCAGAAATCATGTGAAATATAAACACATGAACCTTCCAGTTTACATTTCTGTGATGACAGCATGACTTTGGACGAGGTGAAGGCAGCAACTTGGATGAATCCTCATTAAAGTCTGAATGTTTAGATTTCATTCTTTAACTCACAAATGCTATAACTGAATGCTGTAATGATGTAATAGACAATATTTATGTTGTTTTGCTTTCTTTAACTTGCATTTCTGTTTAAGATGCACCACCATACCTGTGTAACTTTCCACCTGGTGAAACCAGAACAGCAAAATACGAATTTCTTTAAAACATGAGACATTTCTGGGATTACAGTAGTGTGAAAAACCCATTTTTTGGTGCATACTATAATTCAAGGGCAAGACTGACATCTGCTGTGGAAACCATGGTACTGCATTTGAATTTAAGGGTAAAGCATGAAAAACTTCTATCCATTATAACTATTATAAAACTTGACTCTTTTCATATTGCCTCAGTCTTTTAACTTTGTTGGCTGATTGGTATGTCCACAATTCAAAAACAGATATATTATTCAAGCCCAGCTAAAATATCCATCATCCATTATTCAAGATTCTGTTTCATTTTAAATAACTAATTTTACCTCCAGGAGTCAGTGTCTGGGTTGTACATCTCAACACTGTCTACGTTGGTGTTGATGTCTTTATCTCCACCAATGGCATAAAGATGTGATTCACGTACCACGACTGAGAGGTTACTTCTGAACTCCTGCATGTCTGCCAGCCTCTTCCAGCAATCATTCACTGGGTCATAACTAGCATGAGTGCGATAAAAAACAATAAAAAGTGATATATGTAACAATCTGTTTTTGTGAATGTAAGAAGATGTATATTCACTGACTAACAGTTTTTATTTACCTGTAGGCAGTTTTCATAATGTCATCCTTTGCATAAAAGAAGCACCCTCCAATCACATACAGCTTCCCATCCATTACGGCAACTCCATGCCTAAACTTTGGTTTATCTGGAATCTCAGTCAATCTCCTCCATTCAACGTCTTTCACCAACCCTGTGCCACTGCGTAGGGAGTTTGCAAACCACACTTCCCTGCTCGGTATGCGCTGACCAACATCTGGATTCAGTTGGTCTCCTCCAACCAGAACTAGAGTATCTTTTGGTCGCCTGATCCGCCAGTGATCCTGGGACTTTGGAAGGCTGAAACCAAATTCTTTAAGTGCTGAACCATAAAGTTCCACCTCTTTGTTGCCAAAGCACTCCATGCGTAGATTAATGGCTCTAACCTCTCTGAACTCTCGAAAGGTCATGAGGGGGAAGCGAACTCCAGTCATGAGTAAGCCTGCATGGGCCAATCTTTCTTCGGGATCAGCCTCAATCCATGAGATTACGGCTCGAAATACAGCCAACTCTGAAGGTACACAAAGGCCATCGCAGCGAAGGAAGCTTAAAAGCTTTTCTGCTTGTAGGTCCTGAAACTTTGTTGTGCCTGATACTTCCATAAAGTTCCTCAACACAAAGTCATTGGCCTCCTCAAGAAGGTCTGATATTTCATATGCTTCAGCAAAAGATGCCACATCCAGGCAGGAGCTTGCCTGGATCTCTTTTTTCATAAAGTTGAGGCAAATTGATAGAGCAGATTGGAATTGAAGCTGAAGCGCCATGCAGGTAATCTCAAAAACAGAGTCCCAGCTAAGTAAAAGGATCCCACTGTATGAGTAGCCAATAAGAGCCTCTAATTCAGATGTAGACAGGAAAGGAAGGGCAACGCAACTCTGATGGGATTCCCTCATTCCACTTGTGAACATGCCACGGAAGTAATCACTGCTTACTGCCAAAACAATTCTGTGGACTGAAGAGAGACAAAAGAAAAGCTTAAACTTTGACCACTATGATGCATTCATTAGGATATCAAAAGCAGTTGTACTAACCATGGAAAAAAGTTCCATCCACGTCCAAAATGACATCACACCCCACTCTATCTGCCCACAACTGTTCAATGGACCGAAGAGTAGTTTTTATTTGTTCTAGAGCAGAGATGGTTTGTGCTTCTTTCTTGAAACATTCACTGTTCTCCTTTCTTTCCTTGTTTTTGCAGATGTCCACAAGTCTTGGAATTGCAAGAACTTGAGCTGCAGCTTTGATCCGGGCCATATTATCATTGTTCAAAGATGACACAAGCCCAGTGTAGGCAAACTCAACAACAGCCTGAAGCCCAATATGGTCAACCTCTGAACTCAATTGCATTGACCACCTCTGGACTCCATCTTTGTCCTCACTATTGTCAGATTTCTCCTCACTTTTATCCTGTAGTCTTTCCAGAAAGAAGCCACTGACAGCAGCCAAGATAAGGGAGTGCACTTGGAAGCTTTTCTGATTTTCAGTTGTCAATGTCAGGTCTGTAAGAAGAGATGAATCCAAGAATTCTTTCAGAGCTACAAACACCTCTTTAGGGTAGGTTTTGTTGTGGCATGCCTGGACTTTATTCTCTTCAGCTCCCAAGCTTTCAGCGCTTATGTGCTCCGCAATTCCCTCCTGACTAGTACCGTTCATTCCATCTCGAGTCTCTTTTTTGTCACTCCTACTTGTCAAGCCCATTCTCGAATCATTGTAAGCAACAATTCTTCGTAGCTCCCGGTTGTCCTGTTCTATACCTTCACCACCTTCTTCAACAACTCTTTTCCTTCTCTCCTTCTCTCTCCTCCACCGTTCTTCCCACTCCATTGGCAAGTAACGCCTTGTAAACTCCATGTCATTGGTTATTTTCTTTTTGAGCAATAGCTACTTTTGTCTTTTCAGTTACTTATGCCATCCAGCAAAAAAAAAAATACTGTTCTAATGATTTTTGCTACTTCCTATTTAAATCCCCCCTGTCGTTCTCTGTCTTGGTCTCAAGTTCACTTTCTGCATAAACAAGCAGCTATTTATAGCTACTGGGTCACATAGGTTTAATTTCAAGTGAGGCTTCACATGGTTTGTACTGATTCAGAATAAGGAGAATAGAGTTTTTTTCTGCTACAAACATTTCACATTAAACAGGTATTAAACTGAATGACAGCAATTGGCCTTAAATATAGTTAGGTTCTATTAGTGATTATTAAAGAGAAAATATTTTACAGTTCTCCAGTTACTTGCAGTAATGGAACTTTTTTTCTTAGAAATAGGGATTGATACACAATGAGGAGGAAGGATTTGATGGCATAATCTCTGGGAGATCTAATTGCAGTGGGAAAATTGTACAATACTGCACAGACCTGAATTAACATCACGTAATTGACAGGGGGCTGCATAGGGTACTAATAATAAGTAACATTAAAACAGATGCGCACTATTGACTTATTCGATTTGTTATCATAATCTCTTTAGTAGACAGTAGTAAGAGATACTAGTCTTAGATTTCCACAGCATTGCTGGTGCAGCATAATTCTCTAAATGCTATGTATTAAAATTTTGAGTCTTAAGTAAAACTGCTTAAATTTGCAATGTTTTGTAATTCAAAACATTAAAATAGATACAATGTGAATCTGGTGGTTTTAAGGTTGGTTGATGGTTACCACTCGTATATTAAATGAATAAATACCCTTGCAAAAAGGTATCATAAAGAATTATATAAAAGATCTGGCATCTTAAAAGTGCCATATCTAGAGTTAGAGTTAGGCTTTGGGTGTAAGCTTTGGGCTGTGATGATTGTACAAAACAAAACTCAACTCTAATCTTAACCCTGGACAGACACAGATGTCAAGTGGTATAAACATCCAACCAGTCTATGGCTGAAAACTAAATGTACTTTCATGAACAAATGTCACCAATCTATGCGGTACATAGTTTTTTATATCTAAGACACACCAATATCAGTGGTCAATAATCAATAGTAACTTTATTGTCCCCAATGGGAAATTGATTTGCAGTATCAAACAACACATACACAAGAAAAAAAAAATTTCAATAGTTAATATTTTACATGGGGATAAGCAAAAACAAAGAGGAGCTAAAACGTGGTCATGCTGTTATCATAGTTTCTATATCTCTTAAATTACTTTTACCCAACCCCTTGTTTCTCCTACAACCCTATTCCCATTCCACGTGCAGATAAAAAGCAGGTCAAAGATAAAGTCACGTTTTCTGTTTGTAATCTGGTGAGTGTGATAAATGTATATTCCATTTCCAATGCTTTATTTAACTCATAAAAGTCCTGAATAACAAACTGGCAATAAGGAAAAAGGTTAAAGTTTATTCCATCATCATAAGATTATATGATGTTTTTCATCACTTTATTTCTAATAATTAACCTAGACCCTTTTATAAATAGGTTCTTTACACCGTGGTCATCAGTGAAACACACAAATCGGAGAAATACCATCTAACCTGGAAAATGGAGAGATTAACAGTAATTATTCTTATTTGTTTACTTGCTGGTTTATCTGAATGTGAGGAAACGGGTGATCAGAATGAAATCAATCAGAACCTGATCACTGAGCTCTCATATGAAGATACTAAGGCAGAGAACAATAACGATGTGTCAGCTGACCCAGGGTCTGAAACAACAGCCCCTCGGACAGTAAGCAAAACAACTGACCATCTATGTGAACCCAACATCCATATGGTGCTGAAGGAACTGGGGGCTCTAGAAGAGCGACAGAAAGCCACTGTGAGGGCTCTTGAAGAAACAAACAGAAAGCTGGAAGCCAGTGAGAAGAAGGTGGCTGCACTTAACAGCACACTGACTGAGCTCAGGACAATGTATGAAGGTAATATTTGGTAAAAATTAACTGAATGAATGAATAAAAGTAATGAACTTTGCAGTCATTGTGCCATGTAACTTTTCATGAAGTCTATTTTACAAAATAGTCTTTTATCACTCATTTTTAATGATTGTTGTTACAAAAGCATTTTAGTTATAATACTAAATTTTATTTATTGCAGGCGAAACATTAAGCATTAGGGAGGTTCACATGTTTGGTGCCTACAGACAGATTTCTTCTATTTTAGCTTCTCTTCATTTGATGTCTGTAAAACCCAGAATCAAATTTGAAATCCTGTCACAAGGAACTCACGGCACAATATTGTCCGAACAGAGTACTTAGTCTCAGGCTGCAGACTAACTTCTGGTTCTGAGTTTGTGAGTAGAATGGGAGGCAGCGCGTTCAGCTCTCAGGCCTGTCTCTTATTCAACCAGCTTCTAATTTGTGTTTCAGGTGTCAGGTACAGTACACTGTCTACTTCTCTCTTCTAGATTAGGTTTAATACTTTCCTTTTTTATAAAGCTTAGTGCTCAGGCTGCTGGAGGATCTCCAATTCTTTTCCACTCCCCTTGTTTAATTCCCCACATGTTTATATGCCCTAACGCATTAAACTTTTTCTTCTCTTTTTGTCTCATCTCTCTCTGATATTATTGAATTCATACTTAGTTGAGGTGAAAGGTGACTGTTTTCTGCTGATTAAATACTGGCTAAATACTAAAGCTCAGAATTAATCGAACCAAGGCTCAAACCAGATCTGGTGAAAAACAGATGTTATAATTATTCTAGTAAAGTTTCAGTTCTTGTGAGCTTCACTGCTGTTGTACTAACAACAAAAAGAAAAGGTGTCACTGTGTGTTTAAACAATTCTAGCTCTATAACATTTAAGAATGGTGGCAACATTATAGTATAATAATAAAAATATTAAATAATTTGCAAACTGATTATTCTTGTTATTGTTACTTTTATTTATTTATTCATTTGGAGGAAACAAGCTAAAATATATTTTCTGGTGTTTTTAGGACAACGTCAGGTTGCATTTTCTGCTGCTTTACCCACAGAAGCCACTATTGGGCCAGCAAATTTTCTTTACCCTCTGGTGTACAGACATGTTCTGTACAACGTCGGAGGACACTACAGTCCAGTAACAGGTTAGAAACCAGTGTGGCTGTGTGTGTGTGTGTGTGTGTGTGTGCATGTGCCTTCCCCCTGTTCTGCTGCTGAGAATTTTATAATCTCTAAAAAGTATTTCTGTTCAGTCTGTTCTATTCAGCAGGAGCATTATTGGATTAATTGCTGTTACTTTCTGGTTGTTTTTCGATGCAGGGTATTTTACAGCACCAGTTCAAGGAGTCTATTATTTCACCTTTTCTTCTTTCCGGTGGGGAAGAAACACTGGAACCAGTGGTGGCAGTCTGTACCATAATGGAAACCAGATTGTATCATGGTATGGTCACAGTCAGGCTCATCCCATCAGTGCCTCAAACAGTGCAGTCTTAATGCTACAAGTTGGAGACAAGGTCAATGTTCGTCTTTGGGATAACCAACAGATCAGTGATAATGAAAATAAGTACTGCACATTCACTGGATTTTTGCTTTTTCCAATGTGAAGTGGCATCAGACAAAAATGTGACGTGTCATTTTTTGTACACTTTATTTTCTCTTCTGAAAATGTTGTATTTGTTTTTTTTGTGTGGTTGACAAAGATGTACTCCATCTAATAAAGATGTTTTAATAACCATGATAATATTAAACTCCTCCCCCCCAAGTCTTATAAATACAGTATTTTTTTATGTTCTTAATCCTTACCTATTTCTAAGTAATTATGTAATTATTGTGGGAATTGAAAAAAATAATAATTGTCTATGCTATGGTATCTATGCGAATTAAAACTTAGTATTTTATTTAAAATAAACGGTTCTATTGAAGAACATTTGTAATAAAAAAAAAGAACAAAAGAAGAGGGAGTTATTTTTCACATCACAAGAACTACGTACTGTAGAAACTTAATGGCTGCTGGGAGCAAATGAGGCAAAGTTATGACTCACAACCGTCCTTAAAAATCTCTCAAATACGCAGTTAGCTGAGATGAAATCTTATTCACTTTAAATAACTACTACATCTGTATTACCGGGATACATTGCTTAATACAAAATCTAAATAACGAGATCTAACATTGACTCAGAGTAGAAACATTTACACTATAGTACATTTCTTTGACCCCACAGTGTTGATGCATGACTTCCCTCAGTCCTTCTCACTTGAAGGTAATGAGGTATTCTGGGTAGGCCTGGTCATCATGGAAGATCACAAACATGCTGGGCTGCTGCTGGTTGTCCACCAGACTGTCGTAGCAGTCAGTGGGATCTGAGCCTCGAGGAGGAGGTGAAATCATGCTGCTCTTACCGACCGTGTAACGGCCAGTCAGGACACGAACAACATACATCCTCTTTAAGCCTGATTTGTCTGCTGGGGAAAATCCGTTAGCTGAATATGCTGCATTGACAGCAAAGTAAACTCCTTTTCCATACTTTGCAGCTGTAATGAAATCACACAAAAAACCCAACAAAAATTAGGATACATTTTAGGAGCATGTCCTTTCTTGCTGAGGGATTTAAATGACATATTATAAAAGATGCCTTACCATGTTTTCCTGCGTGACCCCTGTCAAATCGGTCCCGTTCAATGCATTGGCATGACTCTGCTGTCGTGCCATGGTAGAGAGTCTTCTCACCTAGCTCTGCTTGTCCATTCTTGGCAAATATACGCTGCTTACACACACTGTAGGCGTTCCACAGGTAGAGGTTTTGCACACGCTCAATCTGAGGTCAGAAAACAAATTAGTCAACTGCCTTATGTACGGTGCGTTTTATGTTTAAATATCTTAGCAAGCATGATTTCTTGTAAGAATACTCACTTTGCAAATGTTGAATTTGGCTGTTTTCAGGAAACCCTGGGCTATTTCCCGGTATTCCTGTGAGGTAGGCTGCAGTTCTACCTTCATGAACAATTCTTCCTGCATAGGATCCCATTTAACTGGCATCTCCAATGCTAAAGTAAAAACCAAACAAATGAACCATATGGTTAAGGCAAGATACTTTCCTGAAATAAGTAGTGAGGCAAAGTTTCTACATCACAAAAGGGAATGG